GGCGTGGCCAGGGGTCGCGTGTCTGGCAACGTATCGGGCTGGTGGCGCCTCTAACTTGGCAATCTCATTATGATTTTAATTGCTGACGCACATTTTTGACGAGTTGCCCAGTATTTTTCTCTCACTCGGAGAACGTCATCGTTGCTGCTCGATTGTTGTTGAATTGGCCAAAAAATTCTTGGCCAGACTTTCGCTGGCACTTGCCAACAGGTGTCCAATTATCATTATGATTATTGTATGTTTATCACATATATATGTACGTATACTACAATATATAACCAGATAATGACGTTTGATTGGCCTTTGGCAAGGCCGTTTTAGCCTGTCGGTTGGCCAAATGTCAACGTCTTGTAAAATTTATTGGCCAATATTCAAAGAATTTTTTGTTTTTGAATGTCTCCCTCTCAGTCTCTCTTTTTTTGTTTGGCTGTCTTGCCAGACAGTTAATATTCAAAGATTTCTCTGCCAATTTCCCGATTCAGTTTCCGAAACCGAATTTTCTGTATATCTTTCTATTGCTTTTCATTTTCAGTTTCTTTTGATTGACTTTCAGTTTTCTTCAGATTTCAAGGCGATCGCATTGCTGACAGTTGTGAAAGTTGTGACAGTGAAATCTTGTTCATTTCTTCTTTGAACATCACTCTTTTTTGGAGCATCCCACTCCCATTAGAGCTGTCCAGCTGGAGTCAATTAAAACCCATAGGAACAAAACAACTTAAGCGCTTTTTGTACGCATAAATCCTCGCTGAAATGATTTTTTTGTGTTCTTCAAAACTATACAAAAAATAATCATCAAAAATGTTTTTTGCGCACAACTGGAGAATTATCTACGCAGAAAAGTTTTGAGTCAGTTTTTGGAAAAATAAAAGACTTTTATGCTCGATGCTTACAAAAAGATATATTCAGGAAGCGAAGCATAGTTAAAAGATAAGAGAAAGGTTAAGTTATATAGAAGTTGTATCGATTGTATGAAGATCATTAAAACGATTGATTTTGAAAATCTTTTCTTTTGTATCTCTCTTTTATTGCATACAAATTGTATTAGAATAACGATTGTATTTCTTTTTGGACCATTGGCAGCACTGTTACGCTCAAAATCCAATGGCTGCTAGGCAGTGTTGCCCATCTGGCTAAATTCCTAGCTTATCGTGAAGACGAGAAGATTCTTAAGAAATTTAAACACTAAAGAATGTAAGAATGATATAATCAGTGTTATATCCAACAGCGCCCCGCAACCTTCATTTCATACCCTAGTATAACCCAATTAGGAGCCCGAATTCGTTGCTTGCATCATTATCAGATAAATAAACTGCACTCTTACTGCATCCCAAGGTTCATTTGTTTACCATGGGCGCACACATGCACAGAAAACGTGCAAATTAACGAAAAAAATTCTAATTAAAGCTAAGAAATACGAACACTAATTACAATTTGTGCCGCATCGCCCTATAGACTATAGACACAAAAACCACAGAGGCAGACAGATGGAGGGAAGCAACAAAAATCAGACCGAACGAACAGCACAGAGCCACACGAAATACATTTTCGATGAAGCAACTGAAATAGATTAAAACGAAAAACGAAATATACAACCAGATGCATTTGTATCTGTAAATGTATCTTCTGCAGTGGAAGTAGTATTAGTTGTGTCCACAAAAATAGACGCAGCGGCGACGCTTTCAACGCGTCTTTGCCCGCGTCAATTGCGCGTCATCGCAACTCAAAGATCCAAGAACACATAGAGAGCCAGTCTAAATACCTATTTATATATGGTATATAACACTGTTTCCCCTTGCCCCAGCACATTACCCCACCACCCGGAGCCATACATAAGGGCAGGCGACAGTTCTGCGCAATTTTCTCGGACTTTTCTTTTCGGCTCTTGACGGTTTTATCGCTTTTTGCGCCTTTCGCCTTCGTCTTCGATCTTCTTCGGGCCGCGCGTCAAGTGTGTCCGAAAATAGCAAGGTAAATGAAAAATTCTACACGGCGAAAGCGAGGAAAAATCAACCAAAATCAAGAAAATTCAAACAGAACAAAAAATTAAGGCAAAATTCAACCAACCAAAATGCCGACTTTCAGCTTCTAGAACAAACAAATAAAAGCGATTTTCCCTCGGAAAAACATTGAAAAACAACAACAACACAAACGTGAAAATATCAGAAACAACAAAAACCCAAAAACAACAAAAGGAAAAACAATTTAGACAGCGAAATTTGTTTAAAACGTCAAAGATTTTTATACTTTTTGCGCTGTCCGTGAGGCACTACGATCTATATTATAAAGAAATCTGCGTTATTAATTCGTTCCGTCTGCTTTCTATAATAGAGGATTTTCTTAAGACAGAGGATATGTATTTGACATAATAAAAAAATTAATATCTAATTTTTCATAATATATAATGATTATATTCTCTTGGTCAGTCTCTTGGTGGAATTTGATTTGAATTTGAATTTAAAAGAAAATCGTTATTCACATATATTATCTATGGTAAAGTACATGAGATCATCTATGATGAGATCATTGGAATATATGTACGATACAGGCCTTTGAGGAGGCAACTAAAACCAAAACTCATAATCTCAAAAGACGCAGTATTTATTGTAAAACGATGGTATCTAATGAGTTCCGGTCTAAGAATATTAATATTATCCTTTGTTAATTGATGATAAGATTAACACAACGATTAATTCTTAGTTCCAAACAAATTCTCTTACATAATTCACATATTTACACACTTTAAATTAAATACAATTTTCGGCCATGTTCATGAATGAATAATGGATACGAAAACACCAAAGGCAAAAATAAATTCAGGCATAATTTATCATAATTTGGCAATGATTGGGCTCATAAATTGACTGAACCAAGTTCGAGCAGCTGCTTCAAAGGCAATTAAGACCAAGTGTGGTCCTAGCCCTACCCCAATATCTGTGCCCCTTATAGAACCATATACTGGAGCAGTTCCGATAGCCATAATTCAATTAACACTTGCACGAATAATGAGAGAGAGAGAGAGAGAGAGGAGTAAAACTCGGGATTTTCTGGAATGAGTAACATTTGTGGTAGGCCGCAATTGGCAGCTGTTCAATAGCACAATTCTGTGACGTCGAGACCATCGACCATCGACCTGACCTCAGGCAATGCGAGAACTCTCCCGAAGTCATCCAGCGATTAAGAGGATAATGATGATGATGATGACGATGAGGGTGAGACTCTCAGGCTGATTTCGATTCCATTCCGATGCTGATCGAACCAGACAGTGTGTCTGGCCGGCATCTCGAAAACTTATTGGCAAAACTCCATGATCATAAATTATGTCAGCTTTTCGTTTGTTTACGCATCAGGCGTTGGCAGGGCCCCATCGGCAGGTGGCGCTTTAATTACATTGTAGGAATTCTCAGAATGGGGAAGGCATGGGGAATCCCCTTTGAGCGAGCCGCTTGCCAAGATTCTGCATTACGCAATAAAGTTCATTGCCATCCCGCCATCTCTCAGATTCTTTCTTTCTTTCATTTCAATTTTTTTTTCTATTTGGTTTTTTTGGAAGCGAGCGTGAGAAAAAATTCTAGTCAAGATTTTGGCAAGCTACCATCTTGGCAGAGGCCCATTACCCATTCCACCATCACCACCAACACCAACACTAACACCACGGTGGCACAGTGGCCTAGGTCTATAAAAACGTGAGATAAGAATAGATGATGGAGGGATACGAAAAGGAACCTGATGTTAGCTGACACTGAAATTAGAGATAAGAGATAAGAAGATGAGATATGTAAGTATCTTCATAAAGGGCTCACAATTTAGATGGATATATAAAAGGATTAGAGAGCACAGTGTCCAAAAGGATGATGTTGCAGATACTGAAACTAGTCGGTTTCATTTATATATGCTCATATATATAGGAAGATTTTGTGTGTTAGAACTCTAAATAAGTACGAGTATATCCAGTAAATGGGATATGACTTCTCAGGAATGGAAATTTCTGACAGTTTCTGTTGAAAACTTTCCCTGCTCCACTCTACTCTCCTAACGGGTGTCGAAAATTGATGACGTATCTTGTGCCTGGCAGTGGCAGCCCCAACTAATGTTTACCATTTCTCTTCATATATCTCGTTGCAGCGACTAGTAGGCCCAAAGGAAACCTCGTTGGCCAATTGGGGTGGAGACAGACCCAGGCAGAGAGCCAAACTGAAACTATCGGAGGCCTGACCAACCAATGGCAGTTCAGTACGGAATCGAAGCCTAGTGCAGAGGGGGACCACGGGAAGGGGAAAGCACCAGGCCAGGACAATGCGGCGCGCAATGCATTTGGCAACATGTCAAGCAGTCCAGGAAGGAGCACACTCACTCACACGCTCTACGGGGATTGGTGCAAGTCGTCCAAGTAATTCTCTGGCCTGCCTCGCTCACATGCGCATGGAAAGTTCTTTAAGTAATTTATCAACCATACGCCTGTTGGCCAGGCACCGAGTCCTTGCCGCCACGTCCGTGCCAGTGTGTGTGTGTGTGAGTGTGCCGAGGGCCACGAGGCTTGCCAACTGCATTGCAGGCCCGTTGCGATTTAACTTGTGCCCGTGGCGAGCCCCGACCCGAGGACTCCCACCCATCCATCCCCAACACAAACGATGAGTCCTTTGCAAGCAGCGCATTGGCTGCAGGACGACTGGCGACAGGACGACCAATCGCAGCACCGCTTGTGCGCACTATCCCGGCCGCCCTGCAGGCCCCCCGGCACGAGTCGCGGGACCAGGACCAGTCAGAAGACTCAAGCTGATTGCACTATCCAACTTTTAAACGATATACTTAGTTACATATTACATAATATATGTAGTTCTTTAGTCGTAAGTCACATGCCCAAGCCTACGCCCCCGAAACACCATCTGCACGGGGGGCGTGAAAAATTAGTTTATGTATATCTTAGAGTTTCAAGCAACATATATAAAAATAATGAAGATTTCAAGAATGCGTAAGAAAAAAAGGAATAAAACCGGTAAAGCTCCAGAGCGGCAAACCAAAAGTGATTATGTTTTATTTATCATCAGTATTGTGGCTTCACAGATCTCACCAATCATCGCCCGACCAAATGGGATAGTACGGGTGCTTGAAGACAGTATTCCGGGCCTTTTCGTTGCGCCACCTCAGATGCTTAACTACCAAAAACGACTGGATGAAGAAGACAGCCATATTGACGGCCAGTAGGCTGTAATTCTTTGGTATAATAACCACTGAGTAGCGGGACCAGATCAAGCCAGTTGCCGCCAGGGAGCCGCATTGATTCAGCGAAATATTCTGAGCCGGGCGACTCAATGTGTCGCCTAGTCCAGCCGCAACTAGGCTCTAAATGGATACAGTTTAGATGGTATTCAGACTGTGGTGTCGATTAAACTTACCCACTTAAAAAACGGGGCCCAGAAGAAGACAGTTTTCGGCCCTAAAGAACGCATTATAGATCGTTTATGGATCGTTTACAGGACGAGATCGACGACTCACCTGCTGGTGACTGCCACAGCGGCTGAGCTGCTTGGGGCACAATCTTGTCTACGCTGAGAATGATAGCATTATACAATTTAGACATCGGTCCCGTGCCTTTGGACATGATGATGATGATCAAAAACTACGAAATGTTACAATTTTGAATTTTCTTAGAGGTCGAAATTTAGAGTCTTAGATTTGTGACAGAAATGAAAATGTTCCAACATTTTTGAAGGGTCAAAATTTGATGATGGGAATCGTTTTAAACCGTTTGCCACAGTAGAGAGATCTGCAGAGCCTCTTCGCATGGTCTCTATTCATTTAAATACACCTTGTCCCTGGACCCTCTTACATTTGAAATTTTCCCTTTCTCAGTGAACGAAAAGTTTGATTTATTTTTTGTTTGAAAGGTGCAAGATGATACAAAAACTGCGTAAATTCCTAAAACCGGAGCTGGAACCGGAACAGACTCAAGATGTTGAAATTTTTTCGCCCGGCTGAGCCGATGCATCCACGGTGACAGTACTCAACTTTGTAAAATTTATAGTGGCCGCCAATTTGTCCTTGAACCGCCAGAGGAGCAGCAGCCAGAGGAGCAGGAGCCAGAGGGGTAGCACGCGCATACAAATTTCTTGTTCCCATTTTGTAAAAACGACTAGAAAGGCTGGAAAAAATTTTTGACAATGACATACTATGTTTTGAAATATGATTAAAAAATAACCATGTCCGACTGCCAAATAATTTTTGCAAATAAATGCATGGTAAATTGCGGTCCATCGACGGAAGATTCCTGCTCAGTGCATAACTTTAAAGAAACTTAATGTTTAAAAGAAAACCAATTAAAGAAGCATATTGAAATTCCAATAAGAAACAAGCTGTGACTGATATTCCAACTAAACGATAGCACGTTAATGGCATATCCGATTGTTACTTCAAGGATATTGAACTAATCCACCACTAGGTCGAAATGAACACAGTATATATAAATCTGAGTCCTGTTAAGCTCATCCGTCGGGTCCGCATATAACCTGGGATTAGTCTTAGTTTTTCTGGGCCTGTGTCAGTTTATTCTTCGAGAGACCTTTTTAAATATGTAACTCATAAAGCACTGGTTCTTTACCTTAAGTCTTTTCGCCACTCGTTACTACCGTGTGTAGGTTGGCAATGGTAAGTAAATTTCAAACGAAAGAGTTCGAACAAGCTCGTGGATTTTAATGGCCATACACTATTTATATTGCTCAAAAACGTATTTATATGTATCATATCATGAATGTATGTATGTGCATTAGCTTGGACCGATTTAATACTTTTAAGTTGACTCTAAAACGTAAGCTTTTGATCTCGCAGTTGTATGTATATTATGTTGTATGTATGTACATAGTAAAAGCATAAAATATATGTATATATATATTGCAAAAATACATATGTGTGTACATGGTATGTGTAGTACATAATTCTCTCTATAAAGGTTGTATATATTGCATATTAATTTTAATTAGAATAATCGCTTAGATCTGAACACTTAAGAATCCTCCGTCCTATTCAGGATTTTACAACTTTAATCCTAATCATATCTGGTTAACGCGTGTCAGTGTGCAAAAATTGTTCGTTAAAATGTTTTTTTTTTAAAGATATACATACAATATTTAGGATAAAAACAATATCATATCGATAACTTAACAGTTGAAAAATAAAAGTTTCGTAAAAGTAGACGATTGAAATAAATAAAGGCCAACAAATCCGTAAAATATTGTGTACATGCGTTTCATATGTATCCGATCAGAAAGGCCCTCTGCGGTAATGTCAAAGCAGTTGATCGGTGACCAGCACAACGCTCTGCTCCTGCGCAATAGCCGCCAGCTCTTTGAGCCACTCATCCAGGAGGACAGCGCACAGAGCCACGTCTCTGGTGCGCTCCGTGCCGCTTGTGCTGGCGATAATACCCATGGAGGCTACCGAATCAAGAGAAGCTGGCTCTGAGTTGAAGCTGCCTGTCTGTGGGCCACCATCGAGTCCGTGTAATGTGCTCGACGAATACGTTGTGGTGTTCGAGTGGCCGGAGAGAGTTTGCGTCGATCCCCCAATGCTGATGTTGCTGTTGCTGCTGTTTCCATTAGCTGTCGTCGCTGTGCCTGTTGATCGTGCTGCTGCTGCTCCCGACTGCGGGTTGGTGCTCAGGCTGGTCTCACAGGTGCCAGTGCCAGTGCTAGAGAACGGCTGCGATTGACCAGAGCCAGAGTTGTTGTTCCCCACCAACGTTGAGGCAGCTCCTAAAAGAACAGTATCAGGATTAGGAAGAGTTCATGGCGATGCTGAGACCTTTGGTAGGTTAATTTCAACAACAAATACAACGGCAACCAACGGCTAAATGGGTTTACACAAATGTTTCTATTTTTCTAAAATTTGTTCATTTTAGTGGGTTGGAGGGGGTATAGCATTTTATGTACAAAGCTCTACAGGCTACAGGAGAAAATCTACGGAATACATTTTGAACAAGACTATGATAGGATTTGTTATTGTTTTTGTTTTAGTTTGGGTTACGTTTTAGTTTAAAACTTTAAATACTTTTTATCAAGCGTGAAATATTTACCGGTGAAGAATGCGTAAATTTGTGATAAGCCAGATGAAGCTAAGATTTGTTTGGATTTTGTTTTTTGATTGTTGTACGAGTATCAATAAAAAAAAGTAAATAAAAGAAATCAATTAATTAACAACGACGCCTGCAGGCATTTTACAAGATGTGTGTGAATGGACATGTGTGTGATAAACCAGAGAGAGAGATAGAGAGCCCTGCATGAGTGTCTAAGTGGATTAAAGTGTTTACGATGTAACCCAGCAACACAAAGAACGAGCCTTTTGCGGAGTATTTGATCCGATTCCGAGAGTTGTCTCGGGTTAAGTCACGCGTTTGACTAGTATAGGATATCATTTGCGATCGTTTCGAAGTCCCTTCACGAAAATTTTATGATAGCTTCGATTCACACTCGTTTCTTGGTCCACTGTGTGGGCTCATGCAGGGCTCTAATCTGTGTGATGTGAAGTGTGTATGTGTGTGTTTGTGATTATAAAGACCCGAAACCAACTTTCTTCCAACATCCAACGCTGCAGATTTGTTTTTTGTATAGTTGGTGAGTTCTTGTTTCATTGAAAAGAAAATGTGCAGAAATTATGCAGAAAACACTGCTTGCCTGACTACTCACCGGCAGAGGAGGGGGGATTAGGTGTGGATCTTCTGCTAAACATGCTGCTGATCGATTTGCTGATGCTCTTCCGTTTGTTATCACTCCGCTTGAACGGATCGTAGGCGCTGGTTTGTGTGGCCTGCACAGGCGTGGCAGCCGACAGTGTCGCATAGGCGGAACGCTGCTGTCCTTGCTGCTGCTGCTGCTGCTGGGAGAGCGTCGTTTGCGGCTGCTGATGATGATGCAGGGGAGAGTTCTCGTTACCCTTGCGGGCATTCACCAGACGAAATTCGCGATCAATCAGCGACGAGCGTGCCACATCGATTATCTCCAAAGAATCCTCGGTCACTGGCAGCTCGGCATCGATTTGTTGCTTTAAAATGCGCAACACCTGATGGAAGGAGGGCGTGTCCGAGGTGATGGCGATGTCAGAGCGTAGCAGCAGCGAGTGGATCAGCGGCAGTGGATACCAGGCCAGGCGAGTGATCAGCCCAGTCAGGTGTAAATTCACATACAAAGAGTTGCTCGTAAAGGTTTGCAGTTTTCCCCAGATGGCATTGAGAAAGGGACCTGCAAGAGATCAACAAAATATATATAGTAATTGCGATTGGCATTCCTCTCAATCCTTACCTAAGCTTACGGTGCCCTGCGCAAACAAATCCTCTGAGAAATCCAAATCTGTAAGCAGCAGCTCGTTGCGATTGGTGTGCGAGATGCGCCAAGCTTCCCCTCGTCTGCCTGCCGCCGCTCCTCCTCCTCCACCCATTCCACTGCTGATGCTGCTGCTATTGTGCTCGAGATCCGCCTCACTGGCCGTTGTTGTTGTTGTTGTCACAGTGAGGTCAGTGGCATCGCTTTCTTCGTCGGCCGGCCGCCACTTGAATGATTCATAGCCACTGGACTCGCCAATCGACTGCAGACTATCTAGCTGTTTCTCTCCCGCCGATTCACTGGCTATGGCGGGTGGGCCACCTCCAAACTCGCTGAAGAACTGTCTGGCCAGCTCCAAGGCGTGCGCATGGACACGTGCTTGTCCGTGGCGGGGCCATTTCTGATAGCGATAGCTGTTGGCCCACTTGAGGCAATCCCGCTGGCACTGGGCTATCCGCCAGTGAGCCTCGAACAGATATGCCTGCAGATTGGCATACAAACTGTCGCCGGTGTGGAGGCCATAGTAGTTCCAGTTGGCTCCAATTGTCTTGCTCATGACAGGCGAGGGCAGGCTGGGCCATGCCAGTGGCTGAATTGGCTGCTCTCCAGTTGCTCCAGACGGTGGCTGCTGCTCGTGGACGCTCTTCGGCCTGGCCAGGTCACGAGCACGCTTCAGGACATCCGGTGAGAGTTCCAGAAAAAAATCGCTGCTGTTCAGATACGGATCGATCTTGTTGATCTTGTGACGGTGCGAGATGGGTACATGCTTCCCCGGCAGCATGAATTTGAGCAACAGTTCCAGCATCAGATCCTCGCAGTGGAGGCCCAGCAAGGTGTCGAACAGGGCCATCGTCACCATACAGAGATTGGCATCTGGGGAGTTGAGACGCTCGACCAACGAGTCCAGTATCCGTTCGCCATCGAACTTCTCCGTGTCCAGGAGAAATTTGACAAAGGCTCGCAGCAGACCGGGCTCCGTAATGGAGCGCAGTATTAGATCCAGATACGACATGGCCGAGATTTGTGAGTCGATGTTCGTCTGAAAATGTTTGCCCTTCAGTGTCTGCGAAAAGGGAGGCGCAAAAAGTTGTTTCGAGATTTCGAGGTGTGTGTTTGTTTGTGTGTGTATTTAAGATAAGGCACAACAAAAAAAATAGAAAACACACAAAAGAAATTGCAAGATCAAGCAGCATTCTTTCGTCCTTCAGACAGACAGAAAGAAGAGCACATGAAAAAGCATCGAAATGATAGAAAAACAGAACAGAGAACAGGACACAAAATGATACGCTTGCAACCAACACCACAGAAATGCATCGAAGACAAGTTTTGCACGTAAAAGGAGACAAGAGACGTGACGCGAGTCTCACCTGTAGTACGGCTGGCCCCAGCACGGGCACAATGAATCCCTGGTACATAAAGTCCAGCAGCTGTTGCTTGATCATCTCGTGGGCCACCTGCACCACAGCATTGCAAAACTCAAGGGCATTCATGAACAATGTGAGCTCTGGTATCTCCGTCACATCATCCGGCGTGATACGATGCCAGTCGATTGAACTGATCTCAATGCTGTTGGGCAGCCGCGAGTAGAGTCCACCCAGTCCGGTCACCAGCAGCGGACAGATGGATGAGTATTGTGCTATGTAGGTGCCAATGTTGGAGTTCTTCTGCGAGAGGGCCATGCAAAGGAGCAGAGCATCGCGTGCCTGATGGCCGAGACTTCCCTCCCGATGCACATACGGGATGAGCAGCGAAAAAATTATGAAACTAAAGGCGGTTCAAGTTGAATTACTGAATTTCGAATGCTATTGCTCTACTACTCACTTGGTCGTAGTTCCACTTTTGGGGGGCGGCACGTTGCCATTTTGTATCTGTTCCTGGACTTGCGTCTGTGCGGAAAAGAAGAACAGATCCAGCAGATGGACATTCTGCATGAGTACGACGCACAGCTGGTTCAACAAGATGACCAGTCGCTTCTCCAGATCGGGCGGGAAGATCTCACCCTGACTGGAGGCCAGTATCTTGAGCAGTGGTCTCAGGAAGGGCTCATGGCAGAGCAGCTGATGCCGTGAGTGGCTCACGAGCAGCTCGTACAGCTTCAGCTGCTCCAGCCTCACCGCATTTGCATAGCGGCCCGTTGTACAGGCCCATTCGTACAGCTTATCCAACAGGTTCTCACTGAGCAGGTACTCCAGGCAGGGGGCTGCCGGCGCAGCACTTGCGTCCGTAGAGGGTAAAGACACTTTGTTGCAATGATGCAGCTCCACCAGCAGCAGCGTGACCATATAGTCGAGATGCGAGACCACCCCCAATACATCGTCATGGGTGGGCGGGGCATAGTGCTGTATGATGTCGTAGGCCTGCTGCCAATGCTTGCAGAAACTGTCGTAGCAGGCGCGCGGATCGCAGTCGGTGGCTGCATCTATGGGTCTCTGGCGGAGGCTGCCCGTAGAAGAGTGTCCTGTTGAGACCCCGCCACCGCCCCCGTTGCCGCTCTGACGCAGCGGACTAGACCGCAGCCAGCTCATTTCGGTCTATGTACAGCGCAGAGATTGTTGGTTTGGTTTCTTTTTCAGCGTCGTCTTTTACTGATAACTGCCTCGTCTGTGTGTGCGCATTAATTTGGCATGTATTTGTAACTATATTATCGCAGTTTTGTGCTTTTGTCCGGGTAGGGTATGTTTGTGTGAGTATTCTCGTAAATAATTAAAAGCTGAAAAAATACATAAAGTTAACGAATATCCGCCTCATCAATGACTGTGACGTGCATCGCCCCACTAGCAAAAAGAACAACAAGTGCACGCCTATGACATAGTTATGGCATGTGTGTATGCATGCATGTATGTGTGTCTGTGTACGTATTTGGACAGGCAATCCCCTCATATTGTTGTTAGTGCTGTGCTGCTGCTCACTCACCTGATGAATTGGTATTTGTTCGTTGTTGGCGTCGTCGTCGTCGTCATCGTCTTGGTTGCTGCCTACTGCTCATCGCGTTTCTGTTTCTTTGCTGCATTTCTCTATTTTCTGCGCGCCACTACATTGACAACATTTGCAGAGCTTTTTTTGGCACCTTGGGCAATTACAATTAAGTTTTTTTTTTGTACAACACGACGGCAGCAGCGCGTAATCGAATGCGCCTCCGTCCTTGTCTGCCACTTGCTGGCGAAAAAACGTGCAGTGTTCTACCACTTTTCCAGTTACAACCATATGGTTAAGTCCGCATTTTAACTGTTTTTAGGGGGTTTTTCGTGCAAATTTGCGTAAATATTTACAAAATGTATCTGCACGGAAATAGAAACAGTGTGACCGCGACTTATCGACAAAATATACCGTCCAACCCTCAGAAATATACCGAAACATACCGTCTCATTTTAAAAATATACCGTAAATATACTAACGAATTCAAGTTCCATTTTACATATTCCTCGTTATTGATCTTCCGTCGAATATTATCAGCTATATAGAATATTTAGACATGCCCACATAATTTTATCCGATTAATTAATCTATTTTCTATTTGATTGGCTTAATTTTAACACTTGCTTTTATTGGATTTCTATATAACGTTAAAATTTTATAAAATATATACCGATATACCGTAAATATACCGACGGTTCAATTTTGACCTCCAAAAATACCCAAAAGTATTAAAAATACCGTAAACGGTCACCCTGTTTCTGTATGCTGGTATCGATGCCAGGGAAGAAACGGTGCTGTTACTTCGATACTTTTGAAAATTGTCGCCAAGTATGATTTTCTTTAGTTATTTATTATAGATATTAGTTAGACATACACTTTCTTTAGCATAAATGTTACAAAGGTCAATTTTATAAACGCAATATTACAAAAATAACAAAGATTACATCTGTCGGACATCAGGTAAATAGTTGATAAAATTGATTTATAAAGCTCGAAAATATGTATGTTCATTTTCCCAGCTGATAGTATGTACGTTAATATGTTGCTCAGATGATAGAGAACTTTTTACTTAGATAATACCATTAACCAAGTGATCGTTGCACATAATAAAAATTCTTTAGATAATTCTTCTAACAACAAAAACATATCTAAATCAATTGATTCTAAAATGTTTATAGTATAATTGTGTGTGTGTGGGTGTTCACATCGGCAACAGCGACTGATTACTGTCAAATGAGCCTGGCCTCTCGATGGTCATGGACTGCTGGGGCACCTGGCTGTCGGTGCTGATCCCGAGGCTGGCATAGATTTCCTTCATCACAAACAGGATTGTGTCTTCAGAGCCCCTGTGGTTCAAAATTGATTGATTTGGTTAGAGTGTGCTGTAAAGACTGGCGTGGAGAGTAGAAGACACTCACCAGTAGCAGACATGACTGCTCAAGGCAAAGATGTACTCATTGATAAACTCCAGCGGTGCCTCTTGCAGCACATAGTCGACGCGCTTCGAATCGTTCAGTTTGCCTAGCGGAAAGTCCAGTTCTACAAACTCTGGATCTGAGGCCGTTGTCGAGTTGGAATATGTGCGATTTCTTGTCTTTGTGGATGTGCTGGCCACAGAAATATCCTCTTGATCATCGTTTTCTTTCTGGAACTGCGACGAAGTCTAAAAGAGGAACACATGTTTCTGTATTTCTCCATCTGTATCTAATGAATCTTGTACTAACCTGATTCAAGACCTGCTTTTCGAGCGTCTCTTCTGCCTCCTTTTTAACTTTGGTCACCGTGGCCAAGAAGTTCACACTGTCCAGGGTGGTCTTGAATGTGTCCATGAATCTCTGCTTGATATCTGCCCCCACACGCGTCATAGTCTCCCTCAGCTCCAGATGCATGCGCTTGCGTCCCTTGTGATGGGGTATGAGAACAGGACGTATACCATTCATATCCGCATTGACGAGAGCCTCAATCCGATAGGCCACCGGATCGAAGGGATGGAATATATTGTAGAAACCCGGACATGTGGGCAGGTGAAAGTCCAGGCCAAGCTGATCGATGCCCCGAATGGTCACAAACATGCCGATGGGCGAGCCCAGGGCAAAGAACTTCTTCGGGTGGAAGATGAGCTGTGTGTAGTTGATGACCGGCTGTCCAGTGCCGGCCGGACCCATGGTGTAGCTGACCTGCTTCGGCAGCAGATCGCCGGAGGGCAGTTGCACTTTCTTGTAGTTGTTTTCGTTCTTCTGCGGCAACTGGTCTGGGTTCTCCTTATTCTCCTCTTCGCTCTCTTTGAGTGGCTCCTGATGGCACAGCAGATCGAACAGGATGAGTGACCCCAGACTGTGACCGGCCAATGAGACGCCGCCGTTGAATTCCGGATGCCTGAATCTGTACTTCAGATAGACCTCATTGAGAGCATCGGCCACCGTGTTCATAATCTTCTGACAGTACTTGGGGCTGGTGTAGAAGAGTACGTCCAGCAGAGTGTCGTTCGTAAAGTTACGTAGCCGTGGTATCGACTCTAGGGTGATAGATTTTAGCTTCTCATCGATGCCCTCCTCCTCGGAGTGTAGATGGCCATGCCAGGAGATGGGCAACACTTCGACGCGACCCACCAGGCCCATATCTGTGGAGTTCTTGTAGTGCGACTGAACCAGCTGCTGGGCAATGTCTCTGAAATCATCCACTGTCAAGGAAGCGTCAAGCGATTAGCTTGGTTTTTTTGTTGGGAATATAAATATATTTTTCAACCTACCCACTTCCTCCACTGAGCGCATTTTCAGATCACAGGCCGAACCAATGCCATGGACCATAAACAACAGATGATCCACGCGCTGGGACTCGCCCTGCTTGATGACAAAGTCATCCAGATCCCTCTTGACCACCCGCGGACGCATGGAGCTCTGTGCGCTGGCCCCCCACGAATCCGAATTCTGTTGTGGCAGGAAATGCACGATGACTGTGGGCCCATGGAAGACCACCTGTTCACCGTTGGCCAGCATGATCTTCTGATGCCATTCGCCAGTCTCTGCCGAACGTTTGTACTCGTCTTCCAGCAGTGCGGCCGTGTCCTCAGAATAGGGCACATACTTGGAGTCTACGCCTTTGTAGAACCAGGAGCAGCGGCGCACCTCAATGCCCTTGCCCTCCCAGTAGACGGGGGTTTTGGTGCGTTCCTTGATGCTGACATCATAGCGGCCACCCTCGACGGGCACAATCAGTGTGGAATCTTCTGGAGGGGGAGAATTCCAAGATTAATTTCTAGAGCTAGTGCAGAAGAATATTTTAGAGGTCTTACCATTGTGGAGGCTGGTCTCAAGCAGCGCTGAATCATAGTGACTGAATGGTGTCCAAATATGTTTCGCGTCCACTCTACGTTTGTAGAACCAATGGACCACAGCAGGCGTATAAACCTAGAAAATGGAAGGGATTAATTTGATTTCATTCTTTCTTTCTGTCCCAAACACTTACTATAGAAACAGGGGGCGTGCCTGCCTTGTCGCTTGTCGTTGCATTTGTGGCCATTCTGAGCTCTTTCAAGATCTCCTCCGGCAATTCCGCTTGATGCAACTGCAGTAGATCCTCGCCCGTTTGACGCTCGACTGTTGGATTGGTTGCCGGAGCTGTTGCTGGAACTGTGGCTGCTGCTGGTGCCAGTGTCGAAAACTCTGAGCAGGCAGACGAGGAGGGGGGCTCCACCAAATTGGAGATGGGTGTCTGGGAGCGTGCCTGTATCTGTTTGACGGGCAGACCGCTGTGCACTATATCGTATTTGAGTTCGCCCGGTGCCGCTGGCTGGTCCTGCAGTGGCGGGTTGTTGAAGAAGTTCTGTATGCGTTGATCCTCGTTAGCGTTTGTCGGGGCCTGTGGCTGTGGCACTTGATCAAAGAAATGGGAGGGGTCACAGTTACTAACTGGAGCAGCAAGTGGCACTGCTGCTGCTGTGGTTGTGGCTGGGGGTGGGGCTGGGGCTTCTGTCACAGTGGGGCCACCAAAATAGCCGGAGAATGTATTGACACTTGAATTTTGTTGATAGGAATTCTCATTTGAATTTCCAATGTAGTTGTGGCTTTGCGCTTGCTGGGATTGGCTTAGAAATTGATCAAAGCCCAGTCCTGGTGCAATACCAGATTCTGCTGCTGCCGGCGGTGGCTCCTGTGCCAAAGGGGGCGGCGCTATGCCCCGCTGCTGTGGCAGTTCTGGAAACAGGCTGCTGCCTGGTGCGGCAAAAAAGTTGAAATCCTCTGGGGCAGCAGTCGCTGTCTGCGAAAAGAAGCTCTGAAGCGGCGATGGTGCAAGTGGTGGGTGGGCTAGGGCTAGTGCTTCGGTAACTCCTCCAAATTCTGCTGGAGGAGCGGCGGCGGCCACCTCTGGCTCTGGCTCTGCCTCTGGTTGTTGTGGCGCAACAAATCCAACAGGCGGTGGCAGTAAATCTTGTGCCGGTGGTGTCTGCAGCACTTGCGAGGGCGTGGTCACCGTCTGTCCGAATGGGCTGTAAGCCGTTTCGGTATTTGCAGATGCAGGGACAGCTTCAGCCTTGGCAGATCCAAAGAAATCGCTTGCTGAAGCATCGACTGCCTCCGTGGATGGTGGTTGAACAGCTTCGAATAATGGTGCACTCGGTTGATGCTCCGATGCAGCAAAGAGAACGCTAGATGAAGCGTTATATGTGGCTGTTTCTGGTGGATAGAGCGGTACTCCCTGACTCTGATCTGCTGCCGATGTTGGCACTGGCACAAATAATGGGCTCTCAGCGGCAGGAATGTCCTCTGCGACTGCTGTCGGTGGATACAAGGGATGTCCTTCTGGAGGTGCCTCAACTGCTGCCGGGACAAACAGTGGAATCTCTTGGGCTGTTGAAGGTGCGAGATCTGGCTGCGGTGCAAAGAAAGATATTCCTTGTGTTTCGATTGGTTTTAATTCGATTGGTGCTGCTGCTGTTTCCTGGACGGGTGGTGGCGTGAAGAGAGCAATGTCCGATGTCGGAGGTGCTTCAAAGAAGGATATTCCTTGGCTGGATGGTGCAGTTTCCTGGCTGGTGGGTACTGGAGGTCTGTCCCCCGTTTGTGGAATGAAGAATGGCGTTGCCTGGGGTCCTGGCTGTGGAGCGGGGAAGGGACTTCCCTGATTTGTCGATGCAAAGGCAGCTGGAGGAGCCGGTCCTTGATCTATGGTCTGTCCTGCCACTGGTGCAGAAGGAGGTGCAAATAGTGCAACGGCTGAGTTATCTTCGCTCTCCTGCTGACCAACTGGTGGGTTGCCAGCTAATGGATTAAATACTCCTGAAGCTCCAGTTCCAAATGGATTGAAGACGGCAGCTGGGGCAGCTGCTGTTGTGGCAAAGGGAGGGCCGAAAGCAGACGCTGTGGCAGTTTCCTGTGCCGTCAATGGACTCTTGTAGAGACGTGTGCCCTTCTGGAGGCGATACGATGCCTGTCCAGCGGCAGGTGGTGGTCCAGCGACAGTTGCTGCTGATCCTAAAGGTGGTCCTGCCAATGGAGGTGCTGTCCCCAGAGGTGGTCCTGCCAGTGGAGTTGCGTTGGATGGTGGCCCTGCTCCTGCGGGTGCAAAGAATCCTCCTACTGGTGGAGGAGCTGCTGCTGTTACTGTGGCAACAGGTGGAACAGGTGGTGCTGTGGCCGCAGGTGGAACTGCTGCTGGCGTAAAGAATCCTCCAACTGTGGAAGTGGGAGGAATACCAGATGTTGCTGGATTAGGATCAAAGAATCCTCCAATTGGCGGAGGAGCTGCTGTCGTGGATGTAGTCACAGATGACACTACTCCTGGGTTTGCAGTAAATCCTCCTGCAAGTGCAGATGTTGGGGGAATAGCTGCCGCTGCCGGTGGTGGTGCTTCAGCAATAGGATTGATCTCAATCGGTGCCGAAACGGGCGTATAGAATCCTCCAACTGTGGGAGGACCTGCTGACACACCTGGTGTAAAGAATCCTCCAACTGGTGGTGCTCCCGAGATGGGATTGATATCAGTTGCTGGCGGATTAGCAGGTGGTATTGCCCCAAAGAATCCTCCAACTGTGGAAGGAGCCGCGACTGAAGTGGGAGCAGCCGCTGTCGCTACCGGATTGGCTGGCTGTGGAAAGAACCCACCTACTGGTGGTTGAGGAATTGCTGTCGCCGCCTCAGGAACTGCGGCAGGCACAAAGTAGCTTCCCGCTGGCGGTGCCGCCGCTGGTGGGCCACCGAAATAGTTGCTCGGATTTGCTGGAGCGACTGTGTTGATGTCAAAGTAGCCCCCGCCAGATGGTGGAGGATTACTAGAGGACTGCTCGCTGCTCCTGCCTGTGGCGGACTGTACAAGTCCGGAGATGTTTTGCAGCACGCCAGTGGGCACAAGATTGGACAGAGAAAATAGGCCTCCGCCGGATTTGCGCTCCTCTGTGGGACCCGCTGCTGCTGCTGCTGGGGGAGCTCCTTGAATCTCAAAAGGAGATGCCGATGGTATCTCAAATGGAGCTGCCTGTTGGGCTGGATATGGTGGCGTCTGGAAGGGCAAACCTGCCTGTGGGGCCTGTGGAATCTGCGGACCCTGTGCCGACTGCTCGGTGAAGCCAGGTATCGGTGCGTATAGCTTCTTTCTGGCGGTGAATCGATAGGTGTTGGGATTTCCCGATGCGGTGGGTGGTGGTGCACTGGCGATGCCTACGTTCGGTGCTGGCACCTCCGTGGGGGCATAGAACTTGGGTGGTTCTGGGGCAGCAACAATCTCATTCGCTGCCGCCGGTGGTGCCGCGTAGAATGGTGGTGGTGGTGCTGCAGCTACTGGCGGTGGGGCGTAGTGTCCCGCCTGCTGTATGTACGTGGGCTGGATGTCCAATTTAGGCTCTTCCGATTCCTTTGTGCCCGCGTAGATTCTCTTGGAGAAGGTGGAAAACACATTGGAGGCCACCGAGGGCAATGCTGTGAAGGATGAGGCCGCCTGGCTCAACAACGAATCGTTTCCAGCGCCCGGTGGAGGTTCTAGCAAGGGATTGGCATTACCATCGCCTGTGCCACGCAGATACGCAGTCGACGATCCACCACTGACTCCACTCGAGTCCTCACTGCTCGTATTCAAGTTGATCTCGTCGAGGGCTTCGCTGTCATCGATGCTCGACGGCTGTCCCACGGTCACCAAAGTTTTTGGCTCTGAAAAGAAGAAAGACTTCGATTAGATTTGCTGGAAGAAGTGGGCGTGTGAGTCCAACACTGTGCCTCATTCTCGTTCTCCGATCACACATAAAAATACAACAAAATATCAGCTGTAATGAATGCAAATTGAAATCGACTTGAGACTCGGACAAACACAATTAACACAAACGGAACACCGACGGATTCCAAACTGGTTTGCCGCTTGGATTTGGACTCGGACCTGGAGACGGTGCTTGGACTAGGCCAGCAGCAACCGGCACTAGCCGCAGAGACAAGTCAGGCATCATTATCATTAGGCCTGGACACCACCATAGATTCGATTTTATTTCTTTTTAATCTTTCTGTTTGATATACTCTTCTTCAATATTGAGGCTAACAGACAGAAGGTTCCGAATAGACGCCTTAAAGCAGCGATGGGCAAACAAAAGCCATGTCCACAGTCGTGCACACGCAATGTATGTTGTTTTTTGTGCATTCTCTTATGGATCACTCGCTTGTACGTGTCGAGCCGTCAACCCTCTTTAGGGAATCCATGTGAGCTTTATAGCATTACCCTTCCGGGTGTCATAGTCCAATGACAGATTAACATTTTTATTGCATTCAATTTTGTAATAAAAAGTCTAGGATTAGTTTCCTGTGTGCACTGAGTTTTTAAATACGGGTACAAAATCTCAGAAATTTAGTTGAAAAGTTTTCTTTCATTCACCAGAAATGTTTGCGTATTTCCCGATCATATTAGTCGCAGTTTCCTCCTTCGATTTGAGTTGATTTCATTTATGTTTATGGTTCAACAATCAGCAGCGTTTTAAAGCGGTCTTCATAAAAATTTTAAATTTAATTCAAGTTTTAGCCGTCTCATAAAAAGCCAAAGCTTGACATTAGCCAAAAGAAAAATACAATACTCGTAGGCAGACGGCTGGGCATAAATGTCATGGCATTTGACGATGGCTCTGGCAAAAGTACATATATTATGGAATGAAAGTAAATGCTGGAAATTGCAGGTCCAAAACGTGTCATTTGCCAAGCGAATACGTCAAAGAATTCACCTCGATCTTGAAACGTGATTGGACCTGAAGCGAATATTGGTTTTCACACCTCCAATGTCCAATGCGCCGGCGGCGGCATGTGACTTGTGACTTGTGGGCTGCAACTATTTTAAGAACTGCATTTTGTACATATTTAAGCGCAAGTTTGGAATTTTTGTGGCCGCAGCTGCATAACCAGCTCTCAGGCCAAGCCAGAGGCCAGTGTAAGAGATACAAATGTAAGAGGGAGATACTAAGAAGAGTGCAGCATAGAAATGACAGATAGAAGAGCCGAGCTCTTAGAATTAAGCGAGAGTCGAGTATTGTATCCGCAGAGCAGATGATAAGTTATACGTGGAGCAGATAGAGCAGGTCCGGAGAGCAGATGCGTCCGGAATAGTCACGGACATTTGCATATCTTTTGTGGCTGCAGTGCTGCGAGCAGGTACTATATTAATCATGGGAATGCTTGGGAATATTCAATCATTATATTGTACATGCATCCCCCATTAATATGCAGATTATAAATGTTAAATGGTAATGCTTTAATAATTGAGTTTTGCTGGCATTTATCTTCATGATGTAACAAGAAGAATGAAATATATTAAGAACTGCGATCACTTTTAGTTGTTGTTTGAGGGGAAACACACCCAACCCATCGTATTCCAGGGTTATCCCAGAATTTGCATACAACCTATAATGGTTATGGCTCTTATGGTTCTTAAAGTTTTACAAACTTTTGTTCATTCCGGTTTCGGGGGTTTTCCACACTTTCGCTTTTACAATTCCATATCTTTCGACACAATAAGCACAGCCAAATGGTTTAAATATTGTCTTAGCCTTCAATTATCGAACGTAATTAGTCACTAAAGCTATAGTTCAAAGATAAGATATGCCTCATTAGGGGGATACAACGAAACTCGAGCGTTTTTTGATGAATAATCAATGATTAGTGAAAGAAAATCTATTTTGAAATTGAGGTATTTTAACAGGAACTGTCTCTTGTCGACAGCACTGAATATAGTATGTATATATAGCAGATGATGATATCTCCAAATGTGTCTACCCAGTACTCGGTATTGATGATAGATCTAGATCTCAGAGACTATGACAGTTTCGAGTAACAAGAGACCCATGTGCCTCTACAAAAACGATTAGATTCTGGTTACCTTTTAGACGAATGGTCTTTCCTATAGAATTTTCAGCTAATACCATCTTCTCATCATGGAAATCCCATCGCTTTTATGGCTCTGAGATAGCTAGACAGAAGCACAAGCGAAAAGTATAAAAGGGAATGCTCGAGAATGCAAAAACAAAGTTGATCCTAGGTGTGGATCGCTCTGGGAACCGAGAATGCAAAAACAAAATATATGTAGTATATGTCACGAGACTCGAAATTCGAAACCGAGAATGCAAAAACAAAATACATTTCTTGAGCATGAATAGGCAGATTGCTGCTCGCCACGAGAATCGTTGATAAGGGACTAGGTATTCCTCTGCATTTTAAGGGAAAGATCTTAAAGGGTCTCTGCGTTACAGCATTCAAAATCATTTCAATTGATCAACAAACAAACAAATTAAATAATTTAAGGTTTCGACTATGTAACTCTGTAACTTTTTTACTATATTTTGCTAGATCAAAGCTGCTTTTTGTCTCTGTGTCGTCGCCCCGTCAGAAGGCTGGTGTTGGCTGTCACTTTTCAAAGGGTCATCCATTTTGTAATGTCTATGCAAAGATTTGCTCTGGCAACTACTCTTGAGGTGGGGCTTCGACTTTGACTTGGAAAAACATTGAAAAACGACAACAAAAACAACAAAAAGTTTCCAGCTTTTTTTTAGTTTTAGTGGGGGTTTTTTTGTTTATTTTTTTGTAATGACAATGACGCATTACGACAAATGTGTTAAAATAAATAAAGAGGCAGACGCCTGTCTAACCGCAAAAAATGTGGAAATAAAGTAGAACAACCTTTTTTTTCGAAACATAAAATACAACAAAAGTGGTAGAATTCTTTATGTTTTAATGCGAACATGACATCATAACGAGACACCGAAGAAGAAGATGTTGATGATGAAGAGGCCGCTGCTGCTCCAACTCCAGCTCCAACTTCAATCGTAATACCTGCCAGCACCAGTGCCACATAATGGCACTCAAATAAAACAATTAAGGCCCACATAAGCACGTCTGAGCATGACGATGAAATCATTTGCAGGATACACAGACACCAGAGAGGGCACACACCGTACCACACACATCTGACAGAAGACAGCCAGAGACGATGCCTCTCTATAAAGCGCTGCCCCAAAACGATTGCCATCAATTTTGTTTAGGGGGGCTGCTGGCTTTAAACGATCGCAAAAGGCTCGTGCAGGTCGCATGCCAAAAATGTTGTGAGCATCCCAAAAAAAAAACAACAAAAAAACTTCACACAATAAAAAGAAAACACCAACCAAACAGCGAAATTGTTGGCATTGAACCCTGAGGCAAAACAGAGCCAAACACATACAAAAAACCGAAGCAAAGCAGACCAAAATTAAATCAAAATAAATCTCAATAAAAATGCGTGCTTTTTTGGAAATGGCCGAGCGACCCCTGAAGTCTGAAGAGCAGCTGCTCGAGACGGTATGTCTGCCGGTGTGCCAGAGGCTAAATGTTATAAATAAAATGTGTGCACATCTTAAGATACCCTTGCCGAGAGGGTGCTACACACGTCTTGGAATGTGCCACAAGGCGGACATCATTTCGAGCGTTTTTTTAGAGATTTATTCAACCAAATCGATGCTTTCGTTGCAACCACATTTTTTCTCACCATAGAGTGCGTACAGGCTCAATAATTCATTGATCCTCCTCCTAATTGCCTAGGACCTGCATCGAAAAGTAAAACTGTTTAAACTGTCGCATAAGCAATGGATTTCTAGAGATTTTTATGGGCAATCAATGACTTTTGGGCTTAAAACCCTGCCAAAGCCATCGACAAAATCGGATGACCCTTCCAGAAATTGCTACGGGGATCGATCTCTCATTCCAGGACACGACAAACAAAAGACTGAGGCAACAAACTCAGGTAGCCGCGAGTTCAGGTGAAAAATACCTATATAAACCCAAAAGGTGATACATACATGTTTTCGTAGGTACTTTTTCGGTGGTTTTTCCCTCATTCTTCGCGTATGCTAATTATGTCAACCACCCACCGACACCTCCGCCGCCACACCCACACCTAGTCGTTCTTTTGGACGTAAAACACGTGACACATCTGGGGTAATCTCCCGCTTCCTTCTGGATCCGCATCCCATGCTATCGATATCTTATCGATTTGAGCGACATTACGAGTATGAGGTGTGCCCTGCCCTGCCGCCAATGTTTGCTTTACTACGAGCACTCGTATCGTATCTACCCTGCCATTTGCTATCCCAATTGTTCAATATTTAAACAATTCATGAGACAGCCGCACAAAGCCGACAACAATTTTTGAAAAGTACAAAAAGGTCAGTAATTAGTGGAGTTTGTTTTAGTTGAGTCCCAATCGCGAAACGATCTGGAGCTGTCGAAAAAAAGCCAGAAACAGTGTACGTCGTACGTCGTCAAGTGTTTCAAGTGAATTAATCGCGAAGGATAAGGAAATTTTACCCGAAACGAAACCATTACAAAGGATTACATCTGTGTAGGTTCATGTGAAGGGTTCTAGAAACTAGTAAAGGATAATAAGCGTACATATCTAGGGGATTATCTAAAGGATAGACGCAACTAGAAGTTTCCGAAACCAATTAAAGAATACACAAAATTGTATCTGCAATTCCAATGACCTATTCTAAAGACTACATTTACGGATATTCATCTGAAAGTTGTTAAAGTATCTTTTTTTTGATACAGATCTCTAAAAGATTAACTTTATTTGGGGGTTTCCTCATAACGAAGCAAACAACTGGTAAACGTGTAAATCTATCTATTACAAAATTTACAAAAATTATCGATATAAGGACTAAGTACATAGGAAGAAGGAGGGCCGCGTTTTTGCCTTCTGCTTCTCCTGACTGGTACCAGAAAGAAACGTAACCACGATCCGATCCGAGGGGCACTGCCGCATGTATCGTTGATGTTCTAAAGGTGGTAAATAGGCCTGCATTTTATTCAAAGGATTACCTATCTCTTTCTCTCTCCGGCAGTCCCCTAAGTCAACCCAAGGATAGATTATAGTCCGTGTACATATTTTTGAATCTTCCCACTGCCACGGCTCTGTGGCTGTACCCTTAGTGAAGCAAAAAGAACATCATATCATATCATGTGTACACAATCCATTTGGAACTTCCCCAAAACCGAAAAGAAACACCAAAGCTAGGCACCGCCTTGCACCAGTTCTTCTGTTGGCTGCTCGTTTCGGCTCGTCTGTTTCTCACTTTTGAAAACAAGTTGGTTACTTTTGATTAACACTTTTTTTTGTGGTGGGTCGGGGGGGGGACACACACATCGTACACATCCCGTTTATATGTTCATCATAAATTTCAAACAGACCAGCCTCCCAGCGACCGAAAAATCATCACCGAAAAGGCCAAGCCAAGTCAAGCAGCAAATGGAAACGATAATCAAGACTCAAAACGATACAAAACGATTGCCAAATATTTAACTTGGTTTATTGAAAGGGTTTTCCTGTGTGCCAGAAAGTTGTTAATTGCAACACAGAGAAGAAACCAACAACAAAAGCCAACTACGACGCGTAACTGCAAAAAAACATAAGCAAAAATTGATTGCATAATTATTAACGAAAGTATGGCAAAAAAAAAAAAATGAAAGAAAAGAAAAAGAGAGAAAAAAGATATACGCAAAGTGAAAATTGCGTGAGCTGCATAAATTCTCAATGCAATAAATTTGTTTTCAATTTGGATGTGTGTGAGTGTGTGGGGAGGCGAGGGGGAGAGAGAGGGGAATGTGTGCCATAATTGAATATCTCTCGACAATTTCTATATCCTGGGGTGGAAAATGGGGACCCAAAGCCAGACTTCTGATGAGATCTAAGGATCGCAAAACTCTATTATATAGATAATAGATATTATAGATTATAAAATAGATTATCGATAAAAGTCCTTAGAACCCACGAAAGTTCGATCCAACACTCTCAAAAGATGCTTTCTTAGGGCTTGCTTGGGCACTCTCTAGCTGAAAGAGGAGCTGAAAGAGATTCAGAGATTCAGCTCCTCTTTCAGCTCCTCTCTAAAGACGCTGATCTGAGCTATTTTAAGCCGGGCTGAAAGATGATCTGATAGCTATGTGTCCGTCTGTTTTTATTAAGACATACTCCAAGTTTTGAGACTCAACGAAAGTTTTCATATAGTTATATTTCATGCTAACCCTTTATTGGAATCGGCTGGATCGAACATCTGTATCTAAAAACTTTTTTAAATACGAAAATTTCAGTGCTTTGTTCCATATATATTTATATGTAAATCTCCACTCAAAGATTCCAACAAACCCAAATCCATTCAGAGCCATATATAGAGTGCTTTAAGCAACTCAAATTTCAGGAAGTTTTCTACAAACGCACGTAGGTCAAGATGCGCACGATCTTAAACGGAAAATTACAAGGCAAAAGATCTCCAACAGAATTGTGGTACAAATAAATCATTGTGCTAAAAGTGTCGCCTAAAAAGAGTGCTTGTGGCCCACCATTATTCATAGCCGAATGATTTACATAGTTGAATTTAATGGCTTGGAAGTGGAAGTGACAAATGCCCTCTAACACGCAACGGCAAAGAACACACATTTTTCTAAAGAATTTACTTAGGTATTTTAAGGTACAAAGCGAAGAAAAGAAGGCAGGCAGGCAGGCTGGTAGGCTGGCAGGCCCTTCCATTACTCACTTTCGAGTGGGTAGTGGGCTGTGGGAACGGGAACCCTCCATAGCATTTCCGCGTACATTATTTAAATATACCCACTATGATATAGTATATATGTGCACGTTTGTATTTATTATGATTTTATTGATGCCGAACCGGAGTTGTCATATTAAATTCATTTCACGCTCCATTTTAATGCGCCACAGAGCCACGGATATAGCCACACAGAGTCCGAGTCCGAATCAGAGTCAGAGTCAGTGTCGGGTAGTCGAACTTCCTATAAAAGTTCACAGTTTTTTTTGTTTTTGTTTTGCTTTGTGTTTTCAGCGTCTTTGCATGAATTTTGATGATCCCCGAAACGAGCAGTATTTATATTCACTCAACGAGCGATTCAGCAAAAAAAAGAAATAAATAAATAAAACCCAACACCAGAGAAAGGTCAACATGCAAAGAACTTGGCTAACACCAACCCAAAAAAAAAGTCACAAATCGCAAAATAAAGTTTGAACTTGAAATGGAAGGAGTACACGAAAAGAAATAGAAAGAAATTGAAATATGATCTGGTTGATCTAATTTCGTTTTTTTGGAGGAAAACCAAAGAAAATGATTCTATCTTTTATAGGAAAGAAAAGTTCTGGAAAGAGTCATGTCTATTCATGGTGGAGTATCTAAATAGATCCACAAATCAACAGAAAATCCAGCAAAATCTATACGCCAAAAGACGGATTTTGTGAATAAAGAACAACCTTAGATCTGTCAACAAAGGTCCATCATCAACTTGAGATATCATCCTCCGAAGGCTACGAGGGATTTAGGGCAGTCGTCAGGGATTATCTAGATATTGTACGGCTGGAATATGGGGACTTTTTCTAAGTCTATAACCCTGGCACCTAGCACTAGAAGTTTTAGAGTTTAAATTAGTTTGAAAAACCATTTCATACACTATTAAATTATATTTTTTTTACATATAGAATACATCTATAAGGTCTCTACACTTTAGACACGTGTTTTATCTCTCTTGAATGAATTAATTATATGATACAGATACAGCACCGGTAATTCTATTGCTAGATTAACTTGATTAGCATATGGGGAAAAATCGAGCCAAAGACATTTCCATAGTCGGGATCACTTAAAAGCTGCTTTGACACGGCCTGCTTTAAACGGTCGCCAAATTTTGCCATTCACAATATTCGCACAAACTCGTACTTCAGCTACATTTGGGCCCTGCTTAAAAGTTGGAACAATTTTGGATTTAATAAATACTTCACCGACGGTCAAAAACCGTTGGAACTTGTTCAGCATTTTTTTTACTCCGATTCCGCGACGGCACTTCTTCAGATATTTTAATATCGGTATATTTTGCCATCACTGAATTTCCATCGGTTTTCTCAAGTAATTTCTGACTGTTGTCTGCTACAGTTATTCATTGATGTCTTTCAATACTTTTTACCCCCAACTATACAATCTTTTTCTTCTTTTTACACAAAATTCACTCTATTTTCACCATCCATCGAACGTTAATTTTTTGGTTTCTTGTGGCAAAAACCGTTGGTGGAAAAGCTGTCGTGTAAGAGCAGCGCGTTCAAGCAATAAACAATCATGTCATGAACATATCCATTTGTGGCATCCATTCAGCTGCGGCTTCCAGCACGTTGTTTCGGCTTTGGTTTATCAGTGGCACGCTCTTCTAGATTCCACAACTCCACAACACAACTGTGGCGGTGGCGGTGGCTGCTGCTGAGAGTCGGGCCCGATGCGAGAGCCAGAGCCGAGAGCTGCGAGCCGAGAGCTCTGGAGAGTCTGGGTCTGCGACTGTCGATTGTCGGTTGGCGGTTGTCGGTGTGCGGCTTGTGTTTCTGCTTTCAGTTTCATTTGAGACGTTGACGCGAGCGCCAGCCACCAGGTCCGCAAACACCAACAAAAAACGAAACAAAAAAAATAAAACCCGCACCGCAGCAGCAACAACAATCCCAGCAGCACCACAGCCAGCGTGTGTCCAAATGAGAAATAAATTTAAACGGGTTAATCCAATACAGAAACAGCAAGAAAAAAAAAAACAACCAAATAATTGAACGCTCTTAATTTTTGTATATATTTTTTGGTGGTTCCGTTCCGTTCGCCAAAGAGCGAAGAGTGCGAGTGCGAGTGCAAGTGTGTGTGTTTTATTTTAGTGGCTGTCATTTGCATAATCTGCAGAGGGTGTTTCGCTCGATAAACAATGCCAAGAAGTGGCCAAAGCTCATAAATAAAGTGCACCCGAAATAAAAAGAGTGTATTTAAGATTCATTGGAGGAGAGCAAAACAAGTTTGTTGCCTAAGTTATTTGTTTTGATTTCAACAAACGAAACACATACCATATATTTTAATATAGCAACAAAAATATAAGATATAAGCGCGTTCCAGCCACGTTGACAGCCAGAAAATCCATAAAAAAAAAGGCAAGTGAAAGAATGAATTAATCAAAAAACCGAAATGGAACGCGAAACAAAAGAATATTATATAGATTTCTCTCTCATGCGAAATTTCAAGCTATAATTGAAACCACATTTTGTATCATAAATCAAATGGAATACTACGATAATTAATGCAATCAAAAAGGTGTTCTACTCATAGGACAGGCTGCCATATGAAATATGTGAAGTCCATTCGGATTGTAGTTTATTTCCAAGTCTCAATTAGAGATTAAACTTTGATTCGAACATCTGTTCAAACAATTACGGGGTTCAGGAAAAACTCTTATCGGCGAAACTCCAGTCCGAGCTTCAATGTGCAATTCTCGAGCATTATTGTGCTTGTGCGTGTCGAATCCGCCGTAAAAGCCGTAGAAAATCCTTCTTTAAAGGTTCCCCAAAAATCATTAAAAATCTAAAACAATGATCTCTGTGTGTGGCTTCAATGTCAACACCGCGTGGGATATCTCCTCCCCCAATGCAGTACAGCCTAGTACTACCTCTGGGAAGGGCCTCTGTTGTCTCTGATGATCGTTAAATGAAGCTGCCACAATTAGAGTGCATTTCAAGTTGTTTTTAAAGGCACACGCTCGCTCGATTCCGATACAGCAGGCGAGGGGGGTCGGGGAGGGCCGGACTGGGGCTACAAAGCAAACGCAATTTGAATTTATAATTTTCGCAATTATTTTTCATTAATTTGTTCGAGCTATAAAAACGTTCCGAGTGATACAAAAATCATAGCGAAAATAAATGCTTACGCGTTTGTTTAATAACTTTGTAGCCGCTGCCACAGCCGACTCTCGTAATTGCAAAAAAAGATACGAGTATATGTAAATAAATAATAAAAAACGCTAGCAACGTGCTTGCCTCTCTAATTTGTTTATAGAACCTTTATTGCTCTTTTTTTTCGTTCGTTTTGTTTTTATGATCCAAAGCGAATCAGCTGCTGGCTCTGGACGCTGTTTGTGCGCCTGATTGATGAGGGTTTTTTTTATGCCGAGTAGAGTACTTTTCTTTAATTACAAAATAAATTGCCTATAAATAACAAAGAACTTCAGTCCAACGCCAGGGCCTCGCTCTTCACGAGATTTGAGTGCTGACGGATGGTCGTTAGAGACTTGACAAAGAAGGGGCATCCAAACGAATGAGGAATTCATTTACATATTCAATACAAGCAGAAGGCTATTGCCAAACAGTGAGGTATCATCTTAAGTGCCTTTTGCCCCTACAGTTCCATTAGCGGAATATCCAAATTCATGGATGATAATGGTTCTTGTCCGAATCCGAAATGAATGTGTCGGTTCACTTATGGGAATTTTTGTGCAGAAAACCAACAATATTCGCTCCCTAAATAATACCCAGAAGCTATTTTAGCTTCCAATTGGAATACAGTTTTGAATAGAAATTGAATTACACTCCAAATATATTAAATTCTTTAATTTAAATGAGATCTCTTCTTCACTGATAGCCTTTATGGTTTGTTTGGAGTCTCAACGCCCTTATATCATTTACTGCCTGATTATTATAATCTTATCTCCACTTAAGAATTAACTTGGCCACTTATCGATTTATATTGTGGCGCCCAAAGAATTGAATAAGGTGTGAAGTGGCATTGGGTACCTTATCAAATATAAATTTTAAAAAAACCAACTAAAGAATATAAATATAAAAAAAGGGTACCCTTAAATGTTCTCATCATATTTGTTTACCTTATTTTATATTTATTTATTTCCTATAGAGCAGCACCCTGCTTGCTTTCTCTGCCATAAACTTTCCATTTTCGCATTCAAGTGCCAAGATATACACAGAAGAGATTCGGCTGGGTTCCGCCGGTGCGGCGGGGGCAATCTTCTTAAGAATTACGTGACCAGCTGGATCCAATCTAACAAATAATGCTCTCAAACATTCGCCCGCAAAGATGATCTACGAATGAGCAGTGTGCAGGGGGTCTTAGAGCTAAACTTTGATAGAAAGAAGCACACCGACCGAATGTGGCAGAGACAAACGAACGTGTCAGTTGGTGTCAATCCACATTTATTGTATATCATGGTTATGAGAAGAAGAGACCTCCCCAGAAAGATAGAGAGACTGAAAAGAGAGGCCTATCATCAAATTGCATTCTCCACCTACCGGATTGACCTTGCAACGCATTAAAAAAAAGCCTGTAAAAAACATCAGTTTCGGGGCAGGCTGACCAAAACGAGAAAAACGAAGACAGAATATTTTAAGTTAATTTATTTCCATTTGACGCATCAATGCGATACATTTTGAATCTCAATCTTGAATTTATACCTCATTTTTAAAGAGGGTATTTTGATTTTGAAGAAGGCTTTGCCATGCCGAGAGGAACGAATTTTTCTAATTCCTTTGGGTATTCCGATTCCATAAGCTTTGCAGAAAGGAGGAAAAGGTATTTTTTTTGGTTAGAGGTTCCTTATCCGATCTCAATCCCCTTCTTATGGGAAGAAATGATGAAAACTCTTGCTAGATGCCTTTTACGAATCATCTTTCGTTTTCGAATATCAAAAAATTCCACTTGAAAGAGTATTCAATGCTCGACTCTTCCGCCCATCTTTCCTTTAATGTTTTATTGATTTTTGATTATTTTTTTTTTGTAAATTTATTTGTTTTTTTCGTTCATGTGCCTTTTGCATATTTGTTAATTAATGGCAGCTGCTTGTGTTTCGAGGAGGTCCGTCGCATCCGTCCCCTCATCATGCTGCATCGCATCGCATCGCATCGGATCACGAGGAGCGGAATCGAACACAAATCTCGAGCCAAGAAATCAATCATTCAAATTGATTTGTTGGTAATTTGTTATTCAAACAAATACCCGCACAAAACGGCCGCAAATAATAAAAAAAAACACCGAGTGTTTAAACCAATGCAAAAATGTAAAGAAAAAAGGCTTGCATGACGCTTTAACCAAAGTGTTAATTATATTTTCGCTTAATTAAAGCTTATAAATTGAGCAAATTGAAGCCCAAAAATGCTCGCGTGTTTACCGCCAGTTTTAATCAAGTTTAAAGCCATTCATATATAAATATATACTATGTAGATTCACCTACAAGAAGTATACATTTTATTGTCACCGCCTTTTGTCTTTGTCTTTGTCTTTGACTTTTGTGTGTTTCTATTTTGAACAACAACAAAACCCTCAAAGAAACCTTGACCATATATCTTCTTCACTCTGGGCTTTTATTGGGGCCTACGTCTGCCCTTTGCTTTTGGCCTTTCTTTTACTTGTTTTTGGTGGCACATCTACATCTTTGGAGCATGTTTACGCGTTTTTGCATGCCCATGAACATGACATTTCGAAAATAATTGTAATTCACAAAAAAAAAACAACAATTTGTAATCTCGTTTCCCCGCCCCCAAAGTTAATATTGTTTTCGTTTTTAATCAGATTGTTCATCTGATTGTTTAATTCATCTCGGAAGTGTGTTTAAATTTAATAAGGTACAAAATGGAATAACCTTTCAAAGGCAGTGATCGGCAGTGTGGGTGCCCTGTACTTGGGAGGACATAAAGATTGGGATCTCTACAATATGATTATTACATTTCTCGATGAAAAACTCTCAGAGCAATGGAAACTCTTTTAGAGCACGATCATCACTTTTTTCTGAACAGAGAAAGCCAATAATTATGTGCCAATTAGTCTGCTCTTCATTTATGAATACCCTAGTCATATTCTCCCTGAAATCCGGTTCTTAATCGGTTTAAAATGACCTGATCTATCTTCCTACACTGGAAAGATCCATCAATCCGTATGGACTTAAACAAATCCCAATCCAAAGATCTGACAGTTAATCCGGGTACTCCAAAGTCTAGAGACTGAAATGGTATGGGTATTCGTATTAATCCAAGTAATTCAATCGTTAAAGCCAGCTCTATTCTACCTATTGAAATCATAGCTTCTCAACTTTTAGAGATACAGATCTTACACATCTAAACAGCATACGTCACAAGTGTCTAATCTTTAAAAAGTACAATAAAACATATTTATCAGAATCGTACAACTCTTACAAAAAGTACTACGCAACTTCCTTCTATATATACATCAACCAATCAATGATCAAAGACTTGGTCATTAGGCGCCTATGCAAATTCCATGAACCCTCTCCAATTTGTTGCATTTTCTCCAACAATTTTCACCCCTTAAATGTTCAATTTGTCAGTCAGATGATAATTGTTAACAAATGATTTTCATAATATACCAAACAGTGAGTAAACAAAAAACATTTCAGCGAAAGTGTTGCAAAAAAATACCCTAAAAATGGCATAGAAAATTGCTAAAAATGAGTAACAATCATAATAATAAATAATTGCGTCAATTAAATAAGCGAAAGATGTCAATCCATCAATCAATCAGTGAACCTTTGAGAGCTTTCCAAAATAAAATATGTTATATTTTTAACATTTTGTTTTCTCTTGCAGATCTGAGACGAAAAGACAGACAAACACTTAGAGAAATACCCAACGACATGATTCTGAGAACAAAGATATTGTATGGCTGCCTGCTGATGGGGCTACTACTTGTCCTTTCTCCAGGAGCGTCTGCCGAGCCCGAGCCCGATGAAGACTATGGCATGGATGGCTTGGACGGGCACAGCGATGACATCTACGAGCCGGCCCAGGTGGAAACGGAAGTGGAGGCCGACCATCACCGCAATAGCGTGGAAGAGGACGGCACGGATCTGCCGGCCCACACAGAGACTTCGCTCAGCATGGAGCAGGATATGAGCACCGTGAGACCCCTTGTGGGATTCAACACCATGTCACCGTACTCCGGCTCAGGTTCGGGGGAGCGGGATGAGAGCACTGTCTTCGAAGCGATGGCGGATGCCCCCACTCAGAAGCGGGTGACCAAAGTGGAGTCTCCCACGAGATCCTCCCACGACTACTATTACGAGGAGGGACCAGAGGACGAGCAGCACGTGGAAGTAGCCACAACCACGGCGAGGATAGCCACCACCATGATCCCAGAGTATGTGCGAAAGTCCAAGGCGGAGAGGTTCCCCCAGAAGGACCAAGAGCACGACAGCTCCGACTATGTGGAGGAAGAGCCGGTGAAAACCATGGACGAGGATCAGTACCACGTGGAGCAGCATCAGCCGTTTCCACAGGCTCAGGTGCAGCAATTACCCAGCCGCTCGAAACCCAATCCGTTCAAGCCCGCCACCGAAGACTACTACTACGATGAAATTCACATCAAGCCGGACCCCACGACGACGACGACGACCACAACCAGCACAACCCAGGAGCCACTGCCTGTGCTGCGTGCTCGCTTTGGTGGCTTCAATTGGCCATCCACGCAGGCGCCGGTTCCAGCCATAACCTCTTCTCCCAGCACCACGACCACAACCACCACAACGACTTCGACTTCGACTTCGACTTCAACGACAACGCCAACGCCGCGCAAACAACCCAAGCACATACAGGTGACAGCCTCGAAGCCGGAACTCCTGCCGGCGGATCAGTTGAGGAACTACATCAAGGATGTCTACATTCGAATGCCGCTGGCGGTGATTGTGGATCCCTCGTCCGCTTCCTTGGAGCAGGCGAAGCGTTTGTACATCGACGCCCTGCAGGACAAGAATATCAACATTAAGATTGTTCTCGTTACACTGAATGCGGCGGGTAAGTCCCTTATAAAACGGCGACCTAGTCCTTGGGGGTCTTATAAACCTCTTCTCTGCCCTTCCAGGTGCACCCTCTGCCTTTAGTTTCAACAATACACGCGAATTCATAGCGGGATTGAACAGCACCAAAGAGCACGAGGGCGGCAACTCATTCGTGGGCGTTCTCCATGCGGCGGAACTAGTGCCCTACGACAGTGCCGTGTTCATATCGACGGCTGCGATTCCACCGCACACGGATCTCGTTCAGGATGCGGCGATTACACTCCTCAAGAAGAGGATCCGAGTGAGTACACGCCCATCGATCCCCACTAGATCTCTCTAGTAAACGTTGCTTCTTTTTTACAGCTATTCCTGTTGTGGTACGGCGAGCAATCGGTTATCGAGAACGAAACAGAGGACGCTGTCGGTGGTATCCTCGGTGAGGTGGCCATTCGCTCTGGTGGCGAAATCATTCACATCGTCAGCACAGAGCATGGCCAGCATATAGCAGGCAATACGGTGAGATATGAACACGATGATAAAGAGACCAAAACCTGACCCGTAATTGGGGTAATTAAAGCGGGGTGTGCGAAACACAGAGAGAGAGAAAGAGAAGGCGGCTTCCGTCTGGCCTACCAAAAACTGTTGAAAATTGAAAGTGGCGACAAGACGAGATCCAACAGCAGCAGAAACAGCAGCAGCAGCATATAAAGTGTTGCCCAAGCAGCCAACTGAGACCGAAGCAACTTGGATTACCTTTCAGGCGGCCAGGCCAGACCATGCCATGCCATGCCATACCAGGGAGTCAGGCAGGCAGGCAGGCAGGCGGTGGCAGGTGGTGCTCAAGACCCCGAGACTTGTTGTTGATGATGGTGCATCTTTTGTTGCCGCTGCTGCTGGCAAAAAACTAGGTTATGGAAAGAAAAGTGAAGGGCAAATTTGTTTATAGAAAGGAAACTTAGACAAATGCCAAAAATGTTCGTTCATGAATCTCGATCTGTTTTTTTTTCTTTTCTTTTTCTTTTTTTTTTGGTTTCTGTTTCTGTTTTGCAGCTCACTCTAGTGGCGGATGCCTTTCGGGGTGATCAGGAACTGGAACTGCCTGTGGATACGACGCTATCCAGTCTGCATGTACGCATCGATGCGAATATGCGACGTGCCACAATGGAGACGCCCAACGGTGGTTAGTTCTTCTTATTAGACTCCTTATATAGCGCACACACCAACTCTATTGCTATTTCCACACACACACACACACACACATACTAACGCAGGGTTGTACTCGTATTTTAGTTCTTAGAAGCATATAATTCTGTAGGAGCCTGTGCCCAGCCTCCCTACGCCTAGATCTTAAGTCCACTTCTTTTTACTAAATGGGCCCACAAAAACCTTTACTCTGTTTATACGAAGAAGCTTTTCATGAGAGAGAAGCAGAAATTCCTCCCTTTTTCTTCTGCAACCACATATAAAAGGCTATCGATAATTTTCAGTACATTTTCATTGCCAAAAAACATATAAATCTAAACAGATGTCATTAATTTCTTCAATGAAAAAGGATTTGGTCTTTACCACATGATTTCCCTACAAAGTGAAGTTGGTTGCGCCTCGTGAAATCGCCTCGAATTTGCAATTCAGAAATAATGTTAAATGCCGTGATTGCCAGCACCTTCCACGCCGGTACATAGCCGGTAGCACCACAAAAACGTATAAACAGAGTAATAGAACAGTCTTGAATCAAAAAAAAAGGAGTGTGTTAACCTTTCAGTGTGTAACAATACCAGGAAAACGAACCAGAATGTCAACTGTACTTATCTATGTATAATTTATGTCTTTAGTCTAAGTTCTTTAACTAACCATCAAAAGACCCAAGCCACCTATTCGCTATTCTAGACCCAAATCAGCTTTGCTGATCCTTGTATATAGCCGAAACCCCCAAACGCTTTCCTTAACCAAAACGCTAGTATAATGCTCAACAAAATACCATATAATACATAACACTTAACTGTAGTACAAAAGAATATTTTCAATATATGTGTTTTATCTATACAATAAAAAGTAATAAATGTTTTAGCATTAAGGGTACCCAAAAATAAAAAAACGAAAACGAAGAAAAAATCAAAAGTTATTTACCAAATTAACCAGCAATATAGCTTTTCTTTTTGGCCTTTTGACACGCCTTTTCTAATGTTTTCCCCCAGCACTGTTTTGTTGTCCCTTTGTGTCTTGTCCTTAAAGGTAAGTAATTGTAATATATGCACTTGGTTTATAAATATATGTATGTATGTCAGAGCACTTTCTATCATCAACTGTCCCGCACAAAATGTTGTTCTTGACTAACCCAAAACGTTGAACGAGGAATTACTTTTGATTGGATCTAATGACAAAAACGACAACGATATTACAAGCAGATTAATCATACGCCACGTCGAAGTTGAGGGGCAAAGTTCGGTTTGAAGATTGCGAAGACCCGCGGGGCCAGACAAAAAATAATTATGACTCAAAGAGGCTCATTCATTGCTCTCTCGGATGTTCCGAGACCAAACGGCGGCTTATCGCCCTATCGCAATAAAATACATATGCGACAATTTTTGCAAAAAAAAGTATTGTCCGCACAAACTTTCGTTTATAAATAGAGTTATCGGTAGAGCTTTCCGGAAGCACTCAAAGCGGTACGGCGCTGAGGAAAAATCAATTAATAAGGGTAGGGTGGTTCTTTGCCTGCCCCAATATCAAAACAATTGTGGCACCCTGTTCAAAAATCAGTCACAAAAATTGGATTCCCGGCCATTTTTCACATTTTTTACAAACAAATTACAGGCAAATATGTGTATGTGTATGTGACTTACAACAACAATTAGACAATCCGCATCACGGCCATTTCATTGCCAAGTTCAAAAGTGGCCTCTGACCAAAAACACTAACACGAAATGGAGTTAAAATATTTAGGACTTGCGGTCCATGTCGCCTCTAATGGAGTTTGTGGTCAAACGAAATGACTATTGGCTAACACTTTTGCGGCACTTAATTGTTCATAATTTGTTTCACAATGAAAAACAATTGTTTTTGTGTTGGATGTTTTTTTGCGGACGTGTTTTTCTTTCACAACAAGAGATTCCAACGCGCAGCTGCTGCTGACAGACGGGCAGGGTTGCCAATGCCAAAAGGCCGTAGAAAAATAATATATTTAGCCGGCACTTGATAATTATTTATTATCACCAGAGATCACCAGAGAGACAAGATTTGTTTTTAAATACCTCACAATTCTCCGTTTGATTGCACAATCTAGTAATCTTTAATTAAATACACAAATGAAATGCGATGGTATGGCAACGTCGTGCCAAACACCTGTGCGCCCTTAAACAGCTGTGCACGTTGCACTGTGAATGGCAAGGCACACAATATACATTTCTTTCCCTGGAATTTCAATTAACAATTTGTTTACACACTTTTAGAAATTAATCTAAGGAAGTTGGTGAAATTCGGCGGAACAAATGCGACGGCAACAACGAATTCCAACGAACTGGATGCCTACGTACCGCTCAACAAGCTGCGCAAGGCCACGATTTTCAAACTGAAACTAAATCCAGAGCTGAACAGCGAAGAGCCCTACAATGTATTCATACGCGCCGAACGCAAAGCAGATGTATTTTTGGGTGAGTTTGTTTATGGGCAACCGGGCGAGATCGATTCTCACACAAAACTGAGGGCACACACAAAAAGGCACTTATATGATTGTTTGTTGTTTCTGGCATGCGAGATAACAGGCAGCAAAAAGCCTGGGATCTGATCTGCCTGCCTGCTTGCCTGCTCGGTTGTCCACAGAAAAATGTACTGATAACCGAGACAACCTTGGAGTGAGGTAGAGGAAGTCGATCTGAGCGTCATCGCTGCCTGCCCGCTGACGCAAGCACGTGTGTAAGCAATGCATCTAATCCCCCACTGCCCCACTCATTACAGGCGACATCATCAAGCGCATTGATAGCTACTATAAGAATGGGCAAGTCAAGCCCTCGTCGCGACTGGCCAGAATCCAGTTTCCCGAGAAGGAACGGGAAAAGCTCGAAGAGGACACGGATGAGCCCAAAAATGAGATTGAAACCTTCTCCGAAACGGAAATACAAAGCAGTCCCAGTTTGAATCAAACCTTGCTGGCCGCCTCCACGGGTCAGCAGAGGAGCACGCTAAATGCCATGCTGCAGCAACGTTGTGGCACGAAGATTGAGTTGAGCACGCAGTCGCAGCTGCTGGTGACAGCTGGCCAGACGGCCACGCTGCTCTTTGAGGTGACCAATATGCGCACGGAAACGGTCTATTCGACCATACAGGTCACGGACGAGCGACGCTTTCTGGTAAATCTGAATCCCACAAGGTAGGTTGGAGCTCTTAAAAAACCTTTATGCATCTAATTGAACGTTTTCTTCTGAATGCAGACTTAATCTGGGACCTCAGGCGACGAGTACAGTGCGTTTGACCGTGCTGGTGCCCACGGGTACGGCGCAGGGCACCACGGACAGGATCACATTCACCAATTATGGCCGTGAAACAGCCACAATGGCAGTCAATTTGAAGGTTGTGTCCAGCATAGATGCTCAGGCAAGTGGAAGAAGCTCCCTCCTCAAAGAGAATCCTTTTAAATGAAAGTCAACCTTTTGCAGGACACAACTGGACCCACGCTCTCGTGGGAGTTTGGCAGTCGTTGCGACTATGTGACGCCCGAGTCTTTGACCTGCGGCGAGCGATTCTGGACACTAGATCTGACGGCACAGGACTGGCAATCGGGCATAATGCGACTACAGACTACGCCAGCCGAGGGTTTGTTCTACAGAAATTACTACACTGCCGGCAGCACAGAGCCCCTGAAGGCCACCTACATGGCCTCCTGTTGCGAGCCGAAGGTAGCCATCACTGCCTACGATGCGTCTGGAAATCAGCGGAGCATCAACATCGATGTGAGGGATGTGGTCCTCACCGAGGGAGCCATAGCAGCCATTTGTCTGGGAGCCATACTGCTGCTGCTGCTGATTATAGCCATTATTTGGGGCATAGTGTGGTGCTGCCGCAGGAGGAAGGTATCGCTGGAGCTGCCCACCTATCGCTCGCACTCGACACGCAGCATGGAGTAGGGGCCCCGAACCGAACCGAGAAGAAGGGAGTTTATTGTTACGTTATTGTGCCAAACAAAAATCAAATAAAAATGCCATTAGAAAGTAATTTTAGCGACATTATAAAACTACCGCCTTATCGGTCCGGGGCTTATCAGCAGAGGTGGGCTGATGAGCAACAAGTGAACGGAGGGAGCAGCAACATCATCTCTGGCTGTGGCTTTGACACACTTACCGCGATTCAGAATGCCAGCGATCAGGACGGGTGTGGATGCTGGCGGCGGGGCATGCACCACGGGCGGGGCGGCGGGCAACAGTTGCGGCTTGTTGGGAAAGTCTTCGTAGCTGAGTCCGGTTACCGAGGCGCTAAGTAATGGATTTTTAACGACACGCGGCGCATTTGGATTGTTGTTTACGCGAGACACGTCACCTTTGGATCTTTCGGACATGGCAGCGACCGCGTAAAAGCACTGATCCAAACGGTATAGATATGTGCGACTGCCTCAACTAAAGGCCAATAGGTGTCGAAAAAGCAAAGTGTTTTGGCTTTAAAGGCGTAGGCTGGGGGCTGGGCTGAATATGTCCGTGAAAACTTCCAGGCAGGCAACTTGCGACGCGTCTGCTTCTTGCATTTCGGACACTCACCGCGAAGAGCTTTCGTTTCAAGTGTGCGCGGCTCCCAGTGAATGGCACCTCGTGGAAAGAAGCAGAGTTTGCAGCAGGTTTGATTATTTTGGTAAAATCATTATTTCAAATTTAATAAAAAATGTATTTCTAGGACTGCAGTCACGTCATTTAAGTGCTAGACTTTACCTGGATGTGGCCGGCAAGCCATAGCTAGTCATGACAATGTCCCACATCTAGAGGAACGGCCACAGTAATCTGTTTCGTGGGCGAGGGCATAACAAACACACACCCACCAAAAAATAGCCCAAATCTAGTGCTTACTCATCGTTTAAAAATGGCTAGTAATCCCTTTGACAGCGATGAGGATCAGAGTGCCGCCAGTGGGGAGATCCTAGAGGGTTTCCTCTGTCCCATTTGCCGGGCAGATCTGAAATCCATTGATGTACTCACGGATCATTTTGCGCGCCAGCATGCCGAGGAGGAGGATACCCTCAAGTCTGTGTTCAATATATTTGTGAAGGCCAAGAAGAAAATCCTTAATAACTTTGAAGATGAACGCGGTGCGGCGGCCTCCTCATCTTCGACAGCGGGCGGACCATCGGCCAATTCCAATGGAAACGGCGCTGACCAGCGGGTGCTGAGCAATGCTCGCTCCCGTTTCAATGTCTTTAACTACATGTCCAAGCAGCAGGTCGGCGCCGAGTGTTCGCACTTTGAGTACTTTCAATCTGTGCGCAATCCTCGCCTGGAACGCTACGCGAGTGAGACGAACAAGCTGATAATACGATTGCATCGGCTGTTGAAAGACTTGCCCTCGGATTCGGTGCAGCGCAAGCAGCACGAACAACAGACGGTGGCCTGGCTGGATGGCAGTTCGGTGAAGCTCTGCCCCAGCTGTGCCAAGAGTTTCCACATCGCCCGGAGACAGCATCACTGCCGTCTCTGTGGCGGCATTATGTGCAATGATTGTTCCAAGTTCCTAGCCCTAGAGAATGCCAGTAAGTGGGAGAACTCTTTGGGATCGTTCACCTGATTATAATTTTTTTCCGTTTTGTAGTGCAATTGGCCAGCCTCTCGACCAGTCGGAGCGAGCCATTGCAGCAGATGCATCAGGGTGACCGTGCCATACGCCTCTGCGAGCACTGCCTGTGGCTGCTGGACACACGACAGGACATGCACGAGAGCCGCACATGTCGCCCACTGCTCGTACAGGTCTATGAGCAGATCCGGCAGCTGCAAAAGGATGTCACCCCAGACCTGGACATGTATCTGAAGATCATCAACAGCCTGCACGAGGGGGAGACTATATTCACCATTTCGGATGCAAGCGCGTTGCGCGGCAAGATTGGCCAGGTGGCTGAGACCATGGATATGCGGAGTAAGCGCATTCTGGCCATTTACTGTGAACCCGGCAGTCGGGAGGAGTCTCTCAAGAAGGCCATTCGCCTGAGCTGCATCCAGGCCATCAAGGAGCGGATGTTGTCGCTGCCACCGCTGCCGGATGAGGCGCTTATCCAGCAAATACAAGAACGAAAGCGTATGGAGACGGAGCAGCGCATCCTCACCGAACAGCGGATGGCCATGGAGGCGTATGAGCGTTACGGCCTGGGTGCCACAATCATACAGTCGGGTGGGGGTCTGGAGAGCGGCAGCTTTGCTCAGGGGGTGAGTGTTATTGTGATGTATCTGGATTCCTCCACTAATTCCTATCACTTGTTTTAGTCGGATCTGCAATCCATTAACAACTGGTCTGCCCCGCAAGCCTCCACCTCAAAGTCCGGCCTGGACGATCCCCTCATTGAACAAATCAATATTATAAAGGGCTACATTAAGCAGGCACGGCAGGACATGAATTTCGAGGTGGTGGAAACGCTGGAGCTGAACCTACGCGAGCTGCAGCGCGAGGTTTACGAGAGACAGCGCAAGTCCCAGAACAGTGCCGCCTCGCCCGAGGTCGAACAGCAGCAGCAGAACCAGTCCTAAAACAGTATATATCTATGTTGTATATATGCATTCCCGCAAAATGACAAATTAAATATACATTTCAATGTGTGAGTATATTTTTTGTGCGGAAAAGACTCAAGACTTGTGCGTTTTACGACATGTGAGATTCCAAAATGCATTAATATAATAATATCATGATGTACGATAATTCGTATCCCATCCTAAGACTTTAGTCCTACGGAGGAAATCAATCCCTTAACTTTGGCTATATACGCGCCCTGCGCATCGGCATTACTCATTCCTTTGCGTGCATTCCAGGCCTCCCACTTCGCCTTGCTCTTAAAGTCCAAGAAACCGGGCTTGTCTACAGTATTAGAAGCCATAAAATGCATTAATAATTCATTGATTTTATCCAACAACTGTCCGTTCTCTCACGCACCGGTATTGCAATCGCCCACTGTGGCCTGCTTGAACAGGCTGTAGAGTTCCAAAAGGTCATTATCTGCGGGCGTGGTATTCAGATTCTTAACATCTTCGGCAGCTTGATTGAATTCCTGCAAGTGTACATCAAAAGAGAAGATATATAGAATAGGTGTTACTTAAGTCTGTATAAAATCTAACTTTTACCTGTAATTCGGCCATGATTTACGATTTTCGAGAGAGCGGAGAAATTTCTGTTGGGACACGACACGATTGTTCTTTTTCTGTAAAAGTAGTATATATTCTGGTATATTTTATCGTTAAAATATACCGTCCGACCCTCAGAAATATACCGTCTCATTTGAAAAATATACTGACGAATTCAAGTTCCATTATACATACTCCTTGATTTTAAAATTCCGTAGAATATTACTAGCTATATAGAACATTTAGATATGCCCACATCATTTTATCCGATTAACAAATCAATTTTCTTCATAGCTGGCCTATTCTAAATAATTGCTTTTATTGGATTTCTAAAATCTTTATATTAATTACGTTTTAAAACAGTATCTCATATTAAATTAACGAAATAGTGTATACAAATGGCCATACTCCGGTTGTCAAGCAACAAGTCTTCCAATACCAGCAACATTGCGATTGTTTTTTTTTTGTTGAACTATTTTTTTAAACCTTATTTAGTTAAAATACAATAAAAGCAAGTATTTAGAATAAGCTAGTTTCCGCCGTTCACCTCAAGTAGTTGAGCTATTTAAATAAAGGGGGCTTAAGTGGGCTAAGTTCGCTTTCTTATCGATATACGTTGTTGTTGAGCCACAAAAATTGAGGCAAAAGCGGTCACACTGAAGTCAAGCCGCTGCCGAAGAGATGTCGCGTCGCGCATGAATTAATTATTAATAAAAAAAAGGAAATTAAAGTGCTTGTGCAGTGCTGGTGTGAGTACCGGGCCATGGAAATTTGTATGATAATTTTTCGCGCTCATTGATAGAGCTCAGTTGATGGAGGAAAAGAGCAACACACATATACATGCATACGTGTGCACTTGATGGTCGCCGCGCACGCACACAGAGTAGAAGTAGTAGTAGTAGAAAGTGCAGCAGCAGGCAGGCGCGGTCCATAATAAAGTATATAAGCAAATCGGTAGCGGGTATACGATACGTCGGTGTAAATAAACCGGGTCGCCCACATTCTAAGGGGCGCCTCCCCATCCCCTCTCGCCATCTCTCATTCTCCTGTAAGAATTGCGGAAAACGTGTTTAATTTTCGAGTATCGTATCTCTCTCTCTCTTCGCTCTGTTGTGTGCGTGCCTGATTTTGTTGTTCAATTTAATTCGCCACATACACATACACACACACACTAGTTAATCCTGCCGCCCTGCTCTTCCTCCCCCCTGCAGCAGCAGCAGCAGCAGCTACTCTCTCCTCGCATCATCATCCAGCAGCGACGCGCACCGGAGATTTATTCCATAGGTAAGTCGACTGTTGATACTTTTCTCCCATTCTCCATTCACGATGCATTCGCTCCTCTCTTCTGCACATTTGGGGGCTTAGTTCGGCGTAAAATCATTTCAGTATAATATGTATGTTCCTGAACTTGATTCTTATTGGAGGTCGCTGTCAATTAAACCGGTTCACGGAATGGCACTGCGAGTCCGATGCTGGACTGAAGATGCCAGTCTCCAACAGATCTTCTTTTTCTGGTTTCACATCGGACTTTTTTACACAGGGTATATTTTATTCGTAGAGGTGTAGAATTCTTACAGAATTATATGAAGGAAGTTTAGATCTGTGGCAGAGGGAACGCCCCTAAAAATCAAGACCAAAAATATGGAATATGCAGCAAATTGAAGCTGTTTAGGATTCTACTTTGGTGGTCTCATCAAGGTAAATGAAGAAAATTCATGAATGAACTCAAGGACAATAAGAGCTTTGCAATATTTACAGCAGCATTATAGGGTTAAAGGGACTGGGCCAATAGAAAGATCAGAGAGAACAAAGAGAGATCCGTTAGAGAGCGAATCGGAATCAGGATGAACGTTCCACTCTGACCAACGAAAGAGCGTAGGAAGATGGAATTCCAATAAGTTTTGAAGAAAAAAGGTAGAGGTCTGAGAGGTGAGGTATGGTATCCTCTCGTTCGAATATCGACTCTAACGTTATCTTGGTTTTTGCTCTCCCTCTGTGTTTCTTCTTAGATTTTTCTGGTTTCTTGCTTGTCCTATCGCCTGCCGTTGCTGGCCATTGCAAATGCGTTTTTTCCGTCTGTTTTTTTTTTTTGCTTTTTATCAGACCACACTGTTGTTGTCGCACCGTGGAACCAAATGCATTAAGGTCGCACTGGTATTTTACTGTAATTAATGTTGAGGCAAACTAATGACAATGGGCCACGTACATACTTATTGCCCTCAGTGCTATGATGATGACGACGACGACGATGATGATAGTGACCGTCAGAGAGAAATACTTGGGTCGTGACTCTGGGCGATCGTGGACACCAACAACAAAGAAGAGATTGTGAGAAGAAATTCCAAAGAAATGAAAAAAAAATGATTGTCGAAATTTTAGTGATTATCAGCAGAAAGTGAGCACTTTTTGAAAATTTATGATTACTCTGTGGAAACTTCAGTCATTCTTGACCTTTATCTACGACAAGTAGTTCTTCCGCTCCATGCAGTTATTGATGAGCAACGCCCACTGTAAATTAGCCTTGCCCTCGGCCTCTGCAGCAGTCAGGTATTTTTGCTTCTTCCTCGGAACTTCTTGCAAATTAAGCCATAAACATGACTGAGAGAAATGAAGGCCGCTCCAACCAAGCGGAGGGCTGAAACTTTTGATACCCTTTGGCAGATCGACAGGGAAATTCTTTTTGATTTAGATCGAACAAGAGATCTCTCTGTGGAAAGAATATTTTACGATATGGGGATCCTATTTGTGAAGTGCTTGAGAAAAATACCATAGATATCTGCTGTAATTACTAGCCTTCTGTCAAAAGTGATAATTATGTTGATACCTATGGCATAAAGGGTATAAAACAACTGCCACATGCCGCCAATAAATGAACGAAAAACTTTGTTTTTTCTTTGGGCCACTTTTAATGTGCTACAGAGAGATGATCTCCTCCCTCTCGGTCTCTCCTTCTATTGCTCTCATCAGCGCAATGTAGCAATGTTCAGCCCCCCTCCCCGCCTCTCCATTCGGATGGAGAAAGCCATCAACGCTCCGTAAATTCCCTCGAAGCCAACACTAAACTAACACACACACACACACACACATAGGCAGAACACACACCTGCAACAACGACTACAGTTATGGCTAGAAAAAGAAGCGGAGAGGAGGAGCAGCCGCATGGCATCAACATTGCGATGCCTGATGCTGTATGGTGTGGAAGATTTCCCCATAGTAAAGCTGGTTTTACTCGCATCTTAATTGTCTCTAGGATGAAAATACTCTTTTTTTTTATAGCACTGTCACTGCGGTTTTGGGTGGAACGTGACGATACCCAATGATCGGACACCTTTTCTGAAGGGAAATATATGATGAGAATACATTCTGGTTGGAACTTCAAAATGGAGATTTGAGACGATGTTCTCGCTTTTTAAATTCTTTCTAATTGATATTTTCATAAGGCTAATAGGGCAAGACTGCTTTTGAGGGCTTAGATCTGTCTACCAGCTTACTTTTTGGTCTATTCTCAGGTGGATACGTATTATATCTTTTACTTTGGTTTCCACAGCTTCTTTCGATGATTTTCAAATTGAAAATTCAAACGTTTAGTTGCATTTTCGCTAGATATTTAGACATTGCTGAAGAAAATGTCACAAGATTACTAATTCCAACTGTAATACCCTTTCAAATATAGTAGTTTTTAGGTATTTAGAGCCTCACCAAATAGGAACCCCATATCTTGGTTATTGTGGATAACTAATTTAAGATATGTTTTCCCCATTTTCGTGGACAGAAAACTATTAATTGACACGTTTTTGTTTTATTTTGATTTTGAAATGTGTTAATTGAAATAATCTCCTTATCCCCACTTCTATATTTTGGTATTCCGAGACCTAAAGAAACATTTTCCGATTAACATTTGTAGGGGACTGTTTTCTAGGGCATTCAAAAGTCTAAGCCCCTTAGTTTCATTCACTTTTTTGTGGTCTCTGAGCCAAAAGCTGGCACTGTTGCGAATATATGGTGCTCTTGTCGCTGTCATCTTTTATGGGCGGCCTCCTGTTGCCGTTGTTTGTGCCACACTGTCTGTCTGCCTGCCACTCATGGCCAAATGAAGACCAACTACTCATCCTGGGCCATCTCTTGTGCCTTTCCCTCCTCTTGTGTGTTTTTCGAGCCTGATTGACTGCAGCAAGTGTGCATCAGGGGCATACCACACACACAATGTCCAACATGAGCCAGCGGCTTCTTCTCACTTCATAAAACGTTAATGAGTTTTAAGGCCCCCCCCCCGATCCATCCATCCATCGTGTGTGCTCATGTGGGAGCAAAGTGGCTCCGAAAGGGGGCCTTGAAATTGCCATCCAAAAACAGGCCGATCGAAAAAAGAAAAAGAGAAAAAATACAGAAACAGCAGTTGGAAAACAATTACAAATATCATTGGCCTTATTTCTTTTGTTTTTTAATTTTACGAAACTGCTGGTTTTTTTTTTGGGTCCCTACGAGTGTCACCGATTCACGCACGCACACATACACACACATGAAGTTATTGCAAATACAGATACATACGCTGACGTAGAGGATAACTGTATTTGTACAGCTTTTCGCACTTTGCTTTGGCTCCGAATAGGCTCTCGCATTTCACCCCCTCTCTCCTCTCCCCGCATCATCTCTCGCACTCCACTTGACACCGCTCTTGTGCTCGCTCTCTCTCTCTGTCTAGCATATGCTACTGCTCTGCTCTACTCTCGTTCTCCCGCTTTCGTCGCTTTGGCGCTTTTAAGCTTCCGAAAATGATTACGCGGCATTTAACACATAGACACTTCCTCTCCTCCCCTCCACCACTCTTCCACTGCTCCCTTTACGAAGTGAGAAGAGAAGGAATGACTCAGTGGTCGCTGCAGTCGATACCCTGCAAGTCGTGGCTTCTCTTGGAAATTCCTATGGAATCTATACGATTGTAATATCTGTAATATATTCTGGAGATTCCATAGAAAAAGACTTACGCACAGGAATATTAATCCGTATCTATTGTATAGTCATTATCACCTAAAGAAAGGGCATCTAAAGCTTATGTAGAACCTCTTATTTCTATTTTTGGCGCATACTGTGGCTACAAATACTTATTTCCTCTAAGCCCGAGACCCAGACAATATTAATACTTGTTCTTATTTGCCGGTTCTTTTCTCATCTTTCTCTATTTGTTCTTTCTTTCCCACATTTTTGCTTACGCATCTTGAAAGAAGGAACAGCATGAAAAAGAGGAAACAGTTCTGTTGCCACACATTTTCTTTAGCCGGTCCGCACACAAAGTTGTCTACCCTACAAAGGGACAGAAAACAAGTATGATGTTCCTGTCATTTCTTTTGAATCCTTGGCAAACAAAAACCATCTCTAAAAGCATTTATTCCAACTCGAATACTTTCCACAAGAGGGACTGCTGCATACCCTTTTAAAAATGGGGAAGGGGTATCGTATCTTTTGGTCTCGCATTCCCCTACCACGTGGGCCACATTCTTTCATTTCGTTTCATTTCCTTGCCAATTCTTTTAAGTTTTGCTTTGAGTTTCGTTTTCTTTGTGTCTTTTTGTCTATTCTCCTTATTCTTTTTTGTGTGTTTCTGTTCATTCTTGTTCAAAACTGTTGTGTTGTGTTGTCTAATGAAAATGCCTTGATTATTTATGAGCATAAATTAAAAATTAACAGTACGCTGCACACAGATACACACCCACACAGAGGGAATGCCTCCGCATTGCCCCCACCCCACCCCCCACAAGCGTAATTCAATTATGTTGCATATATTTCATATTGCAAAAGGCAGGCGGGCAGTCAGCAGCGGAGGGAAATTTATGAGCCATGCCCCCAGGGTCGGGTCGGTTCGGTTCGGTTTGGTTCGGTTTGGGTCGGTACTACTTTGTCAAAGCCAAAACCAAGAGACCCAAAACCCAGCGAACCGACCGACCAACCAACCAGTGGAGCAGAGAGTCAGCAAAGCCCCCAGAGCCAGAGTCAGCGCCAGAGTCAGAGCCAGAGCCAGAGCTCCAGCCACTACAAAGGTCCGCCAGTCCGCCGACCAGTGCTGCCAGCGTAGCAAATTTTCACAGCCAGTGCTGCCAGCGAAGCACATTTTCACGGCAGCAGAGAGCAGGGCAGGGCAGGGCAGAGCAAATGCAAAACGTGGGTGGTGTGGCGGTGGCCGTGGCGGTGTGGTGTGTGCCCCATAAATTCAGATAAACTATTAGTGCATGAAAGCAGCCACAAACAAAAGAAGGTACCATACCGTTCCCCTATTCCCCATCTGTTAT